TGGTTAAAGCGTTGGCTCGTCACGCCGGAGACCCGAGTTCGAACCCCCACATGGGTACAATGTGTGAAGCCCATTTCTGGTGTCCCCCGCCGTGATGTTGCTGGAATATTTCTAAAAGCGGCGTAAAACCAAACTCAGTCAGTCAGTCAGTAACCCCTGCAGATGTCCCTGAATAATGCTCCAGGAGTTATTTCCCTTTGATGTCAATGCGGTTGATAACTGAAGGCAGTGTGGATTACAGGCCAGTTTTGCCCAGCTGTGCTATACATTACTCATCCTTTCATGGAAGAAGTTTTAGCGAAACCTTATATATGTTTCACTTTACGTCATCAATCTGTTAGGGCTGGGACGGGTCCAAAGTTTCTAACCGGGTACCCCACCCGCTATTACCATACCATACCCGGATACCCGTTATATTAATTCCTGGCATCAAATTTGTACGAAATAGATTTCTCAGCTCGGAAACTAAAAGTTCGAGTTTTTCAACATCTTAACCATGTATTAAATTCAAATGAAGTGACTGTAATTATGTCTAAATCTTCAAAGACAATACAACTTTTTAATCATGAAAGAATAACATATGACATTGTTTAATGTATTAGTCACATGATCGTAACGGGTCTGGGTATTGAGACGGGTACCCGGGTCCAACTCATTACCCACCCGTCCCGGGTATCCGGTTACCCGTCCCAGCCCTACAATCTGTGCGTCTTCAAAGCTTTCGATGAAATTAACGAATCACACATAAACTGTTTGGATCATATACACTCAAAAAGAAGAAGAGAGTATATACGGCTTGGGACGAGATGACGCACTACAGCAAATAACAATAGCTGCAGCTGCAATCAGGAGACCCATAAAGAGGGACCTCCTCGCAACTAATTACTGATTATCTTACCCTTTTACAACATTGACTCACTCAGGATAAGTCATCTTAACTTATCCTTTATATCATATGACTGTACGAACATCGTGACCTCTGAGCTTACTATGTGACGTCATTTACTTATTCCCAACAATAGTTCTCACGAAGGGAACTGTTAAGAGTTGGTTGGTTGTTTAACGCCGCACTCAGCAATATTACAGCCATATGGCGGCGGTCTGAAAATAATCAAGTCTGGACCAGACAATCCAGTGGTCAACATCATGAGCATCGATCTACGCAATTGGGATACAATGACATGTGGGTCAGCCAAGTCAGCGAGCCTGATTACCTGTGGAGAACTATCCATCAGGCAATAATCTTTGCACCAAGTGAACTCCAAACGATCAGCTGATCACATGTGTCACTAGATGGGCGTACCTTATTTGAAGGGGTGAGAGTTCCGGGTTGCTCAAGCGCATTCAGCTCGTTAACTCCAAACCCAGCCACAGTTGGATGCCATATATCATGACTAATTTAAATCTGTAATCGTTGAATTGTATTTCAAGTAGCACAAGTGATTTGCAAGCAAACAGGTAAACATACAGTTAATCTGACAATCAATTTACCGACAACACGATGAGTGTGTGACGACAGGCTTTAAAGAGTTGTCTCCCTTGCAGAACGACGCCCAACGCATAGGCGGAACCAGAGGGGTGTGTGTGTGTGTGTGGTGTGTGTGTTTGTGCGTGCGTGCGTGCGCTCGCACGGGTTTCCCTTCCTTCCCCCCCTCCCCCCCGAAAGTTTGTTGTTGTTGTAATTTAAAGTTTATTTCTGAATCCCTGTTACAGTCAAAACTAAGCAGCCAGGGACAGCTCAGTCCGAAGATATACAGTAATTTAATGGGATACACGTATGTTATACTTCGGCTGACCTTAGTAACCCGTATGTTCTGAACCCCTGGGCAGCACTTGTATGTTGGGTAACGGCCTCCATGTCATATCAACGTTACAACTATTTAGTTTCATTTATATTATTGATTCAGTCATGAACAAAATCATTTTAATTATTAAAATTAACTTGCTATGTATTCTTCACCCTTCAATAACTGGTATGAATGTTCGACAATATTTAGTGCAGCTTTGATGATGATTGGACCAGACTGTAGTCCACGGCAGTCCAAGTAGCCATGGAAACAATCACTCCATAGAGACATAATCACTTGTCTGTCTTTTTAAACACTATTGGTAGCACCGGTTGCTTTCACAAATATGAAATTTTGAGATTATATTTATACTTTATCGAAATTGTGTTGTTTCCCGAGTTTTAATAATAACCTGCTTGAAATAACGAGAAAATAATCGCAGTGATGAAAAAACACCTAACATTTTCGAGAAAATATTGCAATAACAAGAACATAATATAAAGAACGAGAAAATATTGAAGTTTCGCGTTTCACAAATAGCTTGTTTTGTTTCCTTCATTACAAACAAATATGCTGTCAGTACATGTATCACCTGTTGTTACATAAAAGATGATATATAAATGATTATGTTTACAAGAGAAAGATCATCCAATGTCAGAGATTGAATATTGGGAGTAATGGTAGCTGTTTGGTTTTGACATTATCGGTATTATTATTTCTCTTTAAGATGAATCTTTCAATTATGAATATCGCTTTGGAAATTTTCAGATAATTGATCAGTTTGTGTGTGTGTGTGTGTGTGTGTGTGTGTGTGTTATATTACATAATGGTTATCCTTTGTCTTTTTGCCGCGTTAACTATTTGGTTCAATAATTTATGGCATTAATGGCGTTGTGTAATAATGAGAATTTATTAGTCTGTAAGGTACCGAATCAAATTAAACATTTTGCTATCTTAATTTTTCTGTTGGTCAGTAATTAGTCCAAATCACAAGATCATTCCAAAGTTTGTAAGTTTCATGTCATTCCCGACAAATGTTTTCATTCATTTCATTGAAAAATGTATCACTTTCTACTAAATCCATTATCATAAGATCTCTTTTGGATAAAAAGTTCAATGCAACGACATGTTTTGAAAATCAAGGAGTTTAACACCCTCTAATGTTTAATGTCTGTAGACATTAAAGACTTAATGCCTAGACAATTATCACACGTTATATCTCATTTATGGCAAACATTAAGTTTACTATTTTCATATATACGTTAGGCATAAATTAACCTTGAAAGCTTTGACAAAAAGAACTCTTTTACAAACATTTATGTTCGGATTACATTTAGTTATAGTACGTTTAGTTCTAACTGTACTGCCTGGGTTCAGGCAGCATATGTAGAACATGGTTAGGATCTTAATGTGTTCCTCTTGTTTCATATTAGCATATCAGAGAGTTTTACGGCATCAAGCCATTTTCTTCACACAGGTCTTTAAATGTCAATATTCCTTTATCAGCCCAGTATCTTGTAAATGAAAGAGTTTTTAAAATTATGACTGACTCATAAAGGTTAAATGTCATCAATGTTGCCTACCTCTGCATTATTTCCTTTACAATATTTTTCCATATTTTTATAACATATACTGAGGGAAGAAAATAAGGGATCACATTGAAAGCACAAGTGTTCCTTTATTGTTTTCCAGGTTTCCTCAACAGCTGTGCGATACAAAGCTTGTGAAGAAACCTTTTAAAAAAATAAAGGAACACTTTTGCTTTCATGTGATCCCTTATTTTTTTCCCTCAGTATATTTCCAGTAGGGATTATTTTTTCCGATATTTGTTTTTTTAAATAATTTGAAAAAGGAAAAAAGCATTGAAAATTTCGAGTTTTGAAAGAATCTTGTAATAACGAGACAGTGTTTGAAATTACAAAAATATAATCAAGGTAAGAAGAAAAGAATCACGAAAGGCAACACATAATTTAAATAACGAGAAATCTTGGTATACAAATATTTCCTACTAAAGTGGCACCTTTAGGCTTTCATACAGTTGGGCATATCGGGAATTGAACCTGAATATCCGACGTATGGGAATATAATTTGAGTAATTGCCAGTCAACCTGTATTTACATAGAATTTATTTATCAAAAGATAAAACTTCATCATACAGTAAATTATTCATCCGATGAATTATGCGCACGTAAAATATTAGTCTTTATCCGTCTCGACTGTCCTTGGCGTGGTGGGATAGGTTGGGGTGCATGCTATGGTTGTGTTGTGTGGGAAAGCGTTGGTGAGACATCGGGCGGCTGGTGTGACGGTTGATTAATAAATAGTCTCTATTTCCCCTGCTAGCTTCCAATCAGGCTATTTCAAGGTATTACGTTACTCCCCTGCTAGCCCAGCTCAATCAGTATTCCATGCTAGCATGTTACCCCCTGCTAGCTTCAATCAGGGTATTTCCAAGGTACACGTTACCCTTGCATAGCTTCCACTCAGGGTATTCAAGGTACACGTTACTCTTTGCAGCTTCAATCAGGGTATTTCAGGGTACACGTTACCTCTACTTCAGCTTCAATCAGGTATTCAATCCTACCTTTCACCTTGATAGCTTCAATCAGGGTATTTCAAGGTACACCTTTCTCCCTGTTAGCTTCAATCAGGGTATTCAAGGTACACGTTACTCCCTGCTAGCTTCAATCAGGGTATTTCAACGTACACGTTACTCCCTGTTGGCTTCAATCAGGGTATTCAAGGTACACGTTACTCCCTGCTAGCTTCAATCAGGGCATTCAAGGTACACGTTACTCTCTGCTAGCTTCAATCAGGGTATTTCAAGGTACACGTTACTCCTGCTAGCTTCAATCAGGGTATTTCAAGGTACACGTTACTCCCTGCTAGCTTCAATCAGGGTATTCAAGGTACACGTTACTCCTGCTAGCTTCAATCAGGTATTTCACGGTACACGTTACTCTCTACTAGCTTCAATCAGGGTATTCAAGGTACACGTTACTCCCTGCTAGCTTCAATCAGGGTATTCCAAGGTACACGTTACTCCCTGCTAGCTTCAATCAGGGTATTCAAGGTACACGTTACTCCCTGCTAGCTTCAATCAGGGTATTTCAAGGTACACGTTACTCTACTAGCTTCAATCAGGGTATTTCAAGGTACACGTTACTCTCTACTAGCTTCAATCAGGGGTTTTGGAGGTACACGTTACTCAGGCGGTAACTCAAGCATAATCCTTAACTGAAGGTATATAGACCATGCCTTCATTACCCACTGAACTCATCGATACGCATGGAACTATTGATTACGGGCTACAACGGATCGATGTTAGTTTCACAACCAGCAATCAGGAAGTCAGTAATGTTATAACTGTGGATTACAGTGTCGTCAGCTCTACAAGAAGTGTGACGATACATTCAGCAGCGAAAGGACCTGATTCAATGTGGGTTATTTGTTGGTATCGTGTGTACCTTTACTGTCAGTGAAGCGCAACCTGCACCGCCGCTCTATTCAGTAATCCAATACTCGACTAACAAACGCGTGTGTGTCGGGGATTGTTTATGTGTTGCCTTGGTAGCAAACAGCTTGAACGCATCTCCGAAGTCCAGGTAAAATAATAAATACATACACGAAGGAGGTGATCACGTGCTTCCTTTGCCAATATGGCAACCACGAGACAATCTGTGACTTAGGACGCCGTGCACGCGGCCAGTGGGACATACACCGCTCTCACATACCTGGATACATGCCTAATGGAAGCTAGAGTATGCGGCCATGCATTGAATGTTTGATTGACATAACTTGACAACGATATTAGACCTTCTGAGGTAAATGTCTCATAATTTGTATAATAATATCGTTTTAATAGTAACATTTCATGGTAGGTACGACACGTTAGATATTCATACACTGAACGTGAGACTATATGGAAGGCTTTAGTAAACATAATATAAAAGAAATATATTGAAATATTGGAAGTACAAGCATCCGAAATGCTATTACTGAGGTTTTATAGAGCACCTTAAGACATTAGCAGCATGTAAACAATCAAAACTAATATCTAGATATGCAGTATTTAACACCAGTGTATGTGCTGTATGATAAATGGTGGATGTTTGATCATACTATGCAGGCAAAGTGAGTCATGAATATTAAAATGAGAGCTTGTCACGAAATATGCTTCTCTAAAGAACTTCACAGATGCCGTGCAACGAGTCACGTGAGTAAGGGATTACGTATCTCCTTTCTATGACAATGTGCACATGAGAACACCAGTGTCCGTACAGTATGTGGCCGTAAGATTTGACACGAGAACATCGTAAACACCAGTGTTCGTACAGTAGATGGTCGTAAGACTTGACACGAGAACCTTGTAAACACCAGTGTCCGTACAGCATATGGCCGTAAGACTTGTCACAAGAACAAGATTTGTGTTCACCCGTCCACTACACACCTCTCTCTACTTCCACCAGTCCACCACTCATCTCTCTCTACATCCACCCGTCAGCCATTCACCTCTCTCTACATCCACCCGTTCACCATTCACCTCTCTATTACATCCACCCGTCCACCACTCTTATCTCTCTACAACCACCCGTCTACCATTCACCCTGTCCGTTCACCACTCACCCTCTCTCTACATCCACCCGTCCACCACTCACCCTCTCTACATCCACCTGTCCACCACTCCGTCCACCACCACTCACCTCTCTCTACATCCACCCGTCCACCACTCACCCTCTCTCTACATTCACCCGTCCACCACTCACCCTCTCTACATCCACCCGTTCACCACTCACCTCTCTCTACATCCACCCCACTCACCTGTTCTATATATCTACCACCACCTCTCTACATCCACCCGTCCACCACTCACCTCTCTACATCCACCCGTTCACCACTCACCTTTCTACATCCACCCGTTCACACTCACCCTCTCTACATCCCACCACCTCTCTACATCCACCCGTCCACCTCTCTCTACATCCACCTGTTCACTCACCCTCTCTACGTCGACCTGTTCACCACCACCCACCCCTCTCTACATCCACCCGTCTACCACTCACCTCTCTCTGCTTCCACCCGTTCACCCCTCACCCCTCTCTACATCCACCCGTCTACCACTCACCTCTCTCTACTTCCACCCGTTCACCCCTCACCCTCTCTACATCCACCCGTCTACCACTCACCTCTCTCTACTTCCACCCGTTCACCCCTTCACCCCTCTCCCTACATCCACCCGTCTACCACTCACCCTCTACTTCCACCCGTTCACCTCCTCTCACCCTCTTCATCCACCCGTCTACCACTCACCTCTACTTCCACCCTGTCCACCCCTCACCCTCTCTCTCTGTCTACCACTCCACCCTCTGTTCACCACTCACCCTCTCTACATCCACCCGTCTACCACCACCTCTCTTCCACCACTCCACCCCCTCTCTACATCCACCCCACTTCACCACTCACCCCTCTCTACATCCACCCGTCTACCACTCACCCTCTCTGCTTCCACCCGTTCACCTCACCCTCACCCCTCTCTTCACATCCACCCGTCTCACCACCACCCGTTCACCACTCTCTCTACTTCCAGCCGTTCACCACTCACCCTCTCTCCCACCCGTCTACTTCTGCTTCATCCACCCGTCCACCACTCACCCCCGTCTCTACATCCACCCACCGTTCACCATCCACCACCCGTCCACACCTCTCTCTACATCCACCCGTTCACCACTCACCCTCTCTCTACATCCACCACTCCCCCTCTACCACCACCCGTCACCACTCACCTCTCTCTGCTTCCACCCGTTCACCACTCACCCCTCTCTACATCCATCCGTTCACCCCTCACCCCTCTCTACATCCACCCGTCTACCAGTCACCTCTCTCTACATCCACCCGTTCACCACTCATCTCTCTCTACATCCACCCGTTCACCACTCACCCCTCTCTACATCTACCCGTTCACCATTCACCCCTCTCTACATCAACAGTGACGATGGAGTCCCTGGTGAGGAGGTACGACTTCATGACGGCGGACAGCTACGCCCGAGTGGATTTCGGCAAACACATGCATTCGATCACCCACGACTTCCAGGCTATGCCCAACGAGCAAGATGTATTGGGTGCGCTCATGTGTCTGAGGGCAGGGGTGTGTCGGCCAGACTTCCCCGGCCAGTTCACTGAACAGTGCCAGTTCGCGGAGGTTGTCTTGCACTCCCTGATGATATGGTCACAGTAAGTCATGTGTTTCTATATCAGGTCACCTTGTTTCCAGATGCTGTGGATATCTACAACTGCCATCAGTAACTGAAGCTATGGTACTGCGACCAGCAGATGTGTCATGGTAGTTCCCTGCAAACTGTCACAGCTTGATAGTTTTCACCTACGTTAACAATGTTTGTTCATTTGAATTCACTGTGATTACGACATTGACCTTTAGTCAACGGTTTCGAACATTCGATTCTTGTACACCTCATTCGAAACTAGCTATGATCATGATGTAATGTAGATGATATTCTGCAGGTGGAACAGTATATAACAGTATAATATCCCACATTTTAATCGATTAATATAAACCACAATCATCTACAGAAATTTTGCTAAGGCTGGAATGACGACGTCGATGTCCAACATCCACGACTTCTGCCTCGACTTCGTCCACGACATGCTGCTGCAGGGGCCGGGGACGACACACATGGAGCTGTGGACCAGGATGATGAATGTCACCGAATTCGGATTCAGTCGTTACTATCATGTACGTTCACATTCGCCTGCGATTCCGCGTTATTTAAATAGAGGACGCTTTACCAATGACCCTTTTTCAAGACAAATTACTAGAAATACACATGGTCGATTTCCTGAAGCCCCCGATCCCTATGGGATTTTGCTAGGCGCTATGATGGTATCCCTCTTGGACTTGGAGACGATTTATTTCATCCTTAATGAAAATGAATATCCGATCGGGTGATCTCAGCTGGGGGACGGGCGAGATAAGCGTGAGCAGCTAGGTGCACTACTTGTAGGTTTCGGTCCCTGTTACAGAACCTGGCGGGGGACAAACTGAAGAATCACATACTGTTCTTCATGAGAGAATTCTGGAGCTCCGATTATAATTTTGAGACAACTTTTATATCAGCTATCAGATGTCTGATCAGCAAAAGCTGTTTCAGGTGAGTGTACACCACATCATGGCTGGCTATCGCAACCATCGATCTCGGCTACAGGCTTCACTAGCCCTTTGTTTATACTGCAGGCTTCACTATCCTTTGTTTATACTGCTGGCTTCACTGTGTCTTTGTTTATACTACAGGCTTCACTAGCCCTTTGTTTATACTACAGGCTTCACTATCCTTTGTTTATACTGCTGGCTTCACTGTGTCTTTGTTTAAACTGCAGGCTTCACTAGCCGTTTGTTTATACTGCAAGCTTCACTATCCCCTTGTGTATACTGCAGGCTTCACTATCCCCTTGTGTATACTGCAGGCTACACTATCCCCTTGTTTATACTGCAGGCTTCACTATCCCTTTGTTTATACTGCAGGTTTCACTATCCCTTTGTTTATACTGCAGGCTTCACTATCCCTTTGTTTATACTGCAGGCTTCACTATCCCCTTGTGTATACTACAGGCATCACTATCCCTTTGTTTATACTGCAGGCTTCACTAGCCCTTTGTTTATACTGCAAGCCTCACCACCCCTTTGTGTATACTGCAGGCTTCACTATCCTTTGTTTATACTGCTGGCTTCACTATCCCCTTGTGTATACTGCAAGCTTCACTACCCCTTTGTTTATACTGCAGGCTTCACTATCCCCTTGTGTATACTGCAGGCTTCACTATCCCTTTGTTTATACTGCAGGCTTCACTATCCCCTTGTGTATACTGCAGGCTTCACTATCCCCTTGTGTATACTGCAGGCTTCACTATCCCTTTGTTTATACTGCAGGCTTCACTATCTCTTTGTTTATACTGCAAGCTTCACTACCCCTTTGTTTATACTGCAGGCTTCACTATCCCCTTGTGTATACTGCAGGCTTCACTATCCCCTTGTTTATACTGCTGGCTTCACTATCCCTTTGTTTATACTGCAGGTTTCACTATCCCTTTGTTTATACTGCAGGCTTCACCATCCCTTTGTTTATACTGCAGGCTTCACTATCCCCTTGTGTATACTGCAGGCATCACTATCCCTTTGTTTATACTGCAGGCTTCACTAGCCCTTTGTTTATACTGCAGGCTTCACTATCCCTTTGTTTATACTGCAGGCTTCACCATCCCTTTGTTTATACTGCAGGCTTCACTATCCTTTGTTTATACTGCAGGCTTCACTATCCCTTGTTTATACTGCAGGCTTCACTATCCCTTTGTTTATACTGCAGGCTTCACTATCCCCTTGTGTATACTGCAGGCTTCACTATCCCCTTTGTGTATACTGCAGGCTTCACTATCCCCTTGTTTATACTGCAGGCTTCACTATCCCTTTGTTTATACTGCAGGCTTCACTATCCCCTTTTGTTTATACTGCAGGCTTCACTATCCCTTTGTTTATACTGCAGGCTTCACTATCCCCTTTGTGTATACTGCAGGCTTCACTATCCCTTTGTTTATACTGCAGGCTTCACTATCCCTTTGTTTATACTGCAGGCTTTATTATCCCCTTGTGTATACTGCAGGCTTCACTAGCCCCTTGTTTATACTGCTGGTTTCACTATCCCTTTGTTTATACTGCAGGTTTCACTATCCCCTTTGTTTATACTGCAGGCTTCACTATCCCTTTGTTTATACTGCAGGCTTCACTAGCCCTTTGTGTATACTACAGGCTTCACTATCCCTTTGTTTATACTGCAGGCTTCACTATCCCCTTGTGTATACTGCAGGCTTCACTATCCCTTTGTTTATAATGCTGGTTTCACTATCCCCTTATGTATACTGCTAGTTTCACTATCCCCTTGTGTATACTGCAGGCTTCACTATCCCCTTGTGTATACTGCAGGCTTCACTACCCCTTTGTTTATACTGCAGCCAAGAGAGCTTCGAAAATCTAGGTCCTGGGTTAGAATTGATCTAAGTAACCCATGCTTGTCGTAAAAGGCGACTAACGGGGTCGGGTGGTCAAGCTCGCTGATTTGGTTGACACATGTCATCGTATCCCAGCGATGGTCATACTGCTGATCATTGGATTTTCTGGTCCAAGCTCAATTATTTACAGACCGCCGCCATTGAGAATGCGATGTGAACGTGTATTCACACCTTTCTTCATTTCATCAAATCAACAATAAGTTGATACAACTCTATTTAGCTGCGAAGTTCAGCTGTATGTGGGTATTATTGTAATGTTTTTCTGACTTCTTGCTCAAATTGTGGAAATTTACTGTGAATAAACGTACAATGTTCCAATGGCAGCCCGGGCACCCCTGCATGAATGGTGTACGCGGATGTCTGGTAGAACATTCCATGTATGGTCAGCATGTCCTGATACAGAGAATGTATGATTGTGGACATTGTAAACTTTGTATGTTAAACGTATTACGACACGTCCATAACGAGATGATTCTGTTGACTGGGGCCCTGTTCTTCCCCACACGCCACTAGGTTGGATCATGTTAAACAGTGGGATTTAAACTATTAGCTGTTTTGAAGGTAATATGTGAATTGTTATCGTCCTTGCTTTCAGAGAGAAGGCTTTCAAGGAGGCCCAGGTAGAGTTCGCGGAGTTGTACAGATACACGACCGTTACTAATCTGAATTGCCCTAAACATATACGGGACATTCACAAGTACATTTCAGACGCAATATCGTACATATACGACGGAGATGTGTTTAAGGTGGGTCAGTTTGTGTTTTTCCGAATAAGACCATTACGTGTTGAGAGTATATAGATATACCTTAAAGAGATATGTCCCGATGGTGAACTGAAATGAGAATCTGAAACTACCCGGAAACGGATTGTTGATGGCGTTGCCATTCCTTCCTCAGGGCATGGATGACTCCGGGAAGGTGAAACAGTCCCTGAAGCGTTATAAAAACGACATCCTCCACCTCAATCTGACCACGAAGAACTCAAAGACGGTCGTCGAGGAAATGACGAGAGGTGTCCAGGAGGTGTTGAATGGCATCAAGTGAGTTCAATCAGTTTCTACAGTCCGCCTGATATATTGTGCCCAGTGACCATAACAAATCCTCCCCAAACAGTTGTACACTGATGCATGCGACACCAATATTCCATCGATCAAGTACCCTTTCGGCAGATACCATCAAATGTTATCGTTATCTACTCACATATCTACCACTTAGATATTGATTGTCTATTTTGTGAGCAAATCCTAACGGAACAACCGCCTTCGTGGTGAAGTGGACAGATCATCTACCCGGAGAGGTGCTGTGGTTCGATCCCATCATCACGTCACATTAAATGATATTTTAACTATGTGTAGTGACCCTATCGGACGCTCGGCTTCTTGGGATAAAACATGGACTACCTTGATAATGTGTCTGTATGGGGCGTGGAATCTACGAGGGGTGGGACTATAAAACAGAATCAACCCTATCCCTCCCCGTGTGTGCGTCAAGCTGTGAACCCTTTTAATCCCACCAATAATTTTTTCCAGCAATGAGTTTCTGTTTCACAAGATGTACGTAGAAATCCTGGACTTCGTAGCTGTAATCTGTGACAAGAAGGCAGGGGGTCCAATCCACCCTATTGTCAGATCTGTAGGCGACTTTTTCGATCACGTCAAGGAGAAGGAAGGGCGTCCCACCATCACGGTACTGATACACGAGTTTCGTAAAAACAGTGTGACACATCCCCGAGTATAAATATTTCCTTATTAAATACCATTTCATAATCCTGTTGAGCCTCCCTTCAGAAAACTCACCGAGAAACATAACTGTCGAATGACGTCGTTTCTTACATGACTATCCTACCTGCTAGGTATCTCTTATTAACCATGCTTGGATCAAAAGCTGTGTTTGTCAGTCTGCATATATCGGTATATAACAATAACAGATACTTTAACGTTGTGTCACATTTGTGCGTTTATATTTGTATCATATTTTCCTTGGAAACAATTTTGATTTTTACTGGGTCATTTAATACACTTGGCAAATTATCATACTCTTACAGGGGAACTCGGAGCTGTTCACTGTGATGACAAAGAAGTTGATATCCTTTTTGAACAACCTGGAGGACCACACCCTGATGACCGTTACGTTTGTTGATGCTACTGTAGACAATGTGCTCTCGAAGTCCATGAACAAGTAGGTGACTGCAACGATGTGTTGGTTTGTCTCAATGTCCTGTCTGTTCTAGCCTTGAATCATCTCTCAGTGATGTGTAACCAGTGAAGGTCCGGGTTAGTATATTGATCTTCAGTAACCCATGCTTGTCGTAAGAGGCGACTAAAGGGAGCGAGCCTGACTTGGTTGACACATGTAATCGGTAACACATAACAGTTAACAGTCATAGTAGGGCTGCTCCTGACCACTCTCTAACCTTGTTCCAGAAGCCGTGACCACTCTCCAGCCTTGTTCCAGAAGCCCTGACCACTCTCTAGCCTTGTTCCAGAAGCCGTGACCTCTCTCTGACCTTGTTCCAGAAGCCCTGACCTCTCTCTAGCCTTGTTCCAGAAGCCCTGACCTCTCTCTAGACTTGTTCCAGAAGCCGTGGTCACTTTCTGACCTTGTTCCAGAAACCCTGACCACTCTCTAGTCTTGTTCCAGAAGCACTGACCACTCACTAGCCTTGTTCCAGAAGCCGTGACCACTTTCTGACCTTGTTCCAGAAACCCTGATCACTCTCTAGCCTTGTTCCAGAAGCACTGACCACTCTCTGACTTGTTCCAGAAGCCGTGACCACTTTCTAGCCTTGTTCCAGAAGCCGTGACCACTTTCTGACCTTGTTCCAGAAGCCCTGACCACTCTCTGACCTTGTTCCAGAAGCACTGACCACTCTCTGACTTGTTCCAGAAGCACTGACCACTCTCTGACCTTGTTCCAGAAGCACTGACCACTCTCTGACCTTGTTCCAGAAACCCTGACCACTCTCCAGCCTTGTTCCAGAAGCACTGACCACTCTCTGACTTGTTCCAGAAGCACTGACCACTTTCTGACCTTGTTCCAGAAACCCTGACCACTCTCTGACCTTGTTCCAGAAGCACTGACCACTCTCTGACCTTGTTCCAGAAGCCCTGACCACTCTCTGACTTGTTCCAGGAACCCTGACCACTCTGTGACTTGTTCCAGAAGCCGTGACCACTTTCTGACCTTGTTCCAGAAGCACTGACCACTCTCTGACCTTGTTCCAGAAGCACTGACCACTCTCTGACTTGTTCCAGGAACCCTGACCACTGCCAGCTGATGATGGACCTGATCAAGGCGTGTCTAAGGATCCATCAGCTAGGAACAGGCAGAGCGGTCTACAAGGCTGTCAAGGATACGGGGAAGCTGCTCAAGTGGAAGGTATACCTTAAGTACTGACAACACCAAAAGTAATAGTGGCATAGATTGGACCTGTCTCTGTTCTATGTACGATAAAAACGCTTAACAGTTAAGATATAAACAGCGAAACCTCGTTCAATACAGCATTTAGGGCAACATAACTAAATAGTTTTTGTAACGTCGTCGGTGGCACCATGACCTCTGTTAGCTCAGTTCGATTTTCGATTTTACCACCAAGTCTCGTTACTCAGGAAGCAGATTAGAAACACGATCTAGAGAATACTATAAACAGTTTCTTTGAACAAACTGATTTCCCCCACAACTTAGACAGAGTACTGTGACTATGTGTCCCAGTCCACTCAGCTGTGAATGGGTACCTCGTTAGTGTGAGAAAGCCACAATAACTCGGTGCGCCTAGTGTCTGCAAGAGTTGCATACTCCCAAGGGAGTTGAGACTGATAACACGATGTGCCGTTGAGATTGACATCCAATGATCGAGGGAAAAAATACCAGCGCCTTGAGTATGCACTAGTTGCCGGGATATGGGCGCTATGCAAATATCGTATAATAATATGTCAACAAGTAACATTTACTTTTTGCAGGACCACGTGGAAGATGCTCGTGAGATTCTAGACCTCTTGATGAAAGTGCGATTATTTGGGAGTGAAAAACACACCAAGCAGCCGGCGGCCTTTTTCATCAACTTCGCCTATGAACTGGCAAATCAAATGACGTAAGACCAATGTTACTTGTAAGGGACTAGTCATAACACAAACCTGTACCAAATGTTGGTTAGGTACACGTGATGTTGTGGTTATATGTGGTCGTGGTTATACACATTGCTGACTGTAGGTACACACATTGCTGTGATGTGGTCGTGGTTATAACATTACTGACTGTGCTGACTGTGTGGTCGGGTTATAACACATGATGACTGTAGGTACACGTTGCTGATGCACGTCGTGGTTATAACACATTGCTGACTGTAGGTACACGTGATGTGGTCGTGGTTATAACATTGCTGCTGACTGTGGTACACGTGATGTGGTTGTGGTTATAACACATTGCTGACTGTAGGTACACGTGACACGTGGTCGTGGTAACACATTGGACTGTAGGTACACGTGTGGTGACTGTAGGTACACACATTGCTGACTGTAGGTACACGTGATGTGGTCGTGGTTATAACACTGACTGTACACGCTCGTGGTTATAACACATTGCTGACTGTGACTGTAGGTACACGTGATGGTACACGTATAACGTGATGTGGGTACACGTGATGGTCGTAACAACACATTGCTGACTGACTGTGATGGTACACGTGACACGATGTAGTCGTGGTTATAACACATTGCTGACTGTAGGTACACGTGATGTGGTCGTGGTTATAACACATTGCTGACTGTAGGTACACGTGATGTGGTCGTGGTTATAACACATTGCTGACTGTAGGTACACGTGATGTGGTCGTGGTTATAACACATTGCTGACTGTAGGTACACGTGATGTGGTCGTGGTTATAACACATTGCTGACTGTAGGTACACGTGATGTGGTCGTGGTTATAACACATTGCTGACTGTAGGTGGGTTATACACGCTGACTGTGTGATGTGGTCGTGGTTATAACACATTGCTGACTGTAGGTACACGTGATGTGGTCGTGGTTATAACACATTGCTGACTGTAGGTACACGTGATGTGGTCGTGGTTATAACACATTGCTGACTGTAGGTACACGTGATGTGGTCGTGGTTATAACGCATTGCTGACTGTAGATACACGTAATGTGGTTGTGGTTATAACACATTACGTGTTTATTGGGTCTGTCGGGTAATCTAGCGGCTAAAACATCGAGAGACAAACAGCGCTAACATGCTTCCAATGTTATGAGATTCCAAATCCCTGCCCAGTTTTCGCAATAACTTCCTTCTCCTTTCCAGGCGGGACCGAATCCTTCCTGAAATGACTGAAAAAATGGTAGAATGTACCCTGACAATTCTTAAGAGGAGAGAAACAGCGATGTTCCAAGTTTCTTTTATAATGGCCAACATTGTTTGTTTTAATGGAAAGGTAAGTTCTCGGGCCTGAAATGATGGTTTTTAAGTTCTTGTTAAAGTATCAGCCATCCAGCAATGTTATATGAGATGATATAAGTAATATGAGCATGAAGTAGATCAATTTACCCAGTTTATATAATAACGGCATTGCGTGTGCATTTGGTTTTGACCCCTACAAATGATTTTACCAGAAACACAAGGACCTGATCATGTCAACATTTTCCACTATATTGATGTTCCTCAAGGACGCAACATTCCCTTGGGAGAAGGCCACTTCCGGTAGCTCGATTGTGGCCGTTTACCGACTGGCCGAATTGGGAATGGATGCTTTGTGAGTAGACAGATTCACAGACACTCAAGAGCACTGGCAACTATCTGTACACAAGGCATGCAGTGACATACACAGTCATATATATATAAATACAGATTTGCGCAGTCATTGACACACAACCGGCCCATATTTAAGACATCAAGAGACTATCAATTCAATTTAAAGACACTGGCAGACAATCAGCACATTGATACACAACACGGATTAAACACACTGACACACAACACAGATTAAAGACACTGACACACAACACGGATTAAACACACTGACACACGACACAGATTAAAGACACTGACACACAACACAGATTAAAGACACTGACACACAACACAGATTAAAGACACAGACACACAACACAGATTAAAGACACTGACACACAACACAGATTAAACACACTGACACACAACATAGATTAAAGACACTGACACACAACACATTAAACACACTGATACACAACACACATTAAAGACACTGACACAGATAACAAATTAAACACACTGACACACAACACAGATTAAGCACACTGACACACAAAGCAGATTAAAGACACTGACACACAACACAGATTAAACACACTTACACACAACACAGATTAAAGACACTGATCCACAACACAGACTAAACGCACTGTCACCCAACACATATTAAACACACTGATACACAACACAGATTAAACACAGTGTCACACAAAACAGATTAAACACACTGATACACAACACAGATTAAATACACACCACAGATTAAAGACACTGACACACAACACAGATTAAACACACTGACACAAAACACAGATTAAACACACTGACACACAACACAGATTAAAGACACTGACACACAACACAGATTTAACACACTGACACACAACACAGATTAAACACACTGTCACACAACACAGATTAAACACACTGACACACAACACAGCTTTAACACACTGACACACAACATAGATTAAAGACACTGACACACAACACAGATTAAACACACTAACACACAACACAGATTAAAGACACTGACACACAACACAGATTAAAGACACTGACACTCACACAACACAAATTAAAGACACTGACACACAACACAGATTAAACACACTGTCACACAACACAGATTAAACACACTGGCACTCAACACAGATTAAGCACACTGACACTCCACACAGATTAAACACACTGATGCTCCATACAGATTGAAGACACAGACAAAACACAGCCAACAAAAATTGTTTACTCGCTGATGGAAATAGAGGCTGTTTCTTGAATGTTTTATAGACCCAAGAAGTAAGGTAAAATGAGGTTTTACAATCAAGAATACTTAAGGCCGGTAGACAAGCAACTTAACAGAAAGTACCATCTTGTAACGTCCTTTGGAATGAGGCAAGGGATGGACAGCATCACATACAGGTGTCACGACAGACGCTATTCCACACTTATGAAATATTGAAATATGTTAATAAACAATATCTAATTAAAACTGCTGTTCCAGGAACGCCAAGTCACTTACCGAAAAGGACCTGAGTGCTCTGTCCTACTTCATGAAAATAGTGATGAAGGGAGACTTTGTCCTGGACGAGGAGGAATCTAACAAACCTGACACAGTCTTCTTTGCACTGTACAGGAGCGTGGCGACAAAGTTTCTCCGATTTGTAAGTAGTATTGGGAAGGAGGAGGTCCCACGGGATTCAAAATTAATTTGGGTATGGATGACAACGATTGGTGTCCTTCATTCTGATACAGATGGATTATTGAAAACTCACCGGTCGCTGGTTCCTTGAGTTGGGATACCATGACATGCATCAACCCAGTAAGCGAGCCAGACCACCCCTGATCCCGTTAATCAACTCTTGCCAGAACGTTTGGGCAGCTGAAACCCGACCATCATTGGGAGTCAACCCTATAGGCTCAGTAGATATCCCAGCCTTGCCTAGTATCCGGCCCGACCTCGGAGATGCACTGGCTGTACTTGTATTCACTCGCATTCGTAACACTTAGCTGCCTGTAACTAATTGTTACAGAAATTGTAGAAACTGATCTAATATGAACTGTTCTCCTCCAGTTGGACGACCAGGAGAAGATACAGCGGGCTATCTTGGTGGTGAGGGAGAGCGTCAAATTGCTGACTAGTCAGCACGGAGAGATATCAGAAATCGCACTGTCACAAGTATCAGCACTGATACTGAAGGGAGCCAGGACAATGTCACCTTTCTTCCCCCAGATCATGGATGTATATATGTCCTGTGAAAGCCCACGATTACTGCGTACGTCTAAATACAAACAATGTCTCTTGTTGTAAACAATATAATGTCAACAAAGACAACATGGAATAAAATGAACTTCATTAAGTGGCATTTAGAAGCTGGTATGATAAAGAGGACACTTTTAATGGATAGACAACTTTATTGCAAAAAAAGCGACGTTTCGGTGTAGATCCTAACACCGTTATCAAGCAAAGTATGAATAAAATGAAATGAAAAACACGAAAGGCTATTTTCTTCAGTATTGAGTGAACGGTTGACGCGGCATTAAGATGGAGAACATCTGAATGAGGCTTCACACAGTGTACACGTTCTTGAAATCAAACCTGGAATTTTACATTTATCTGTACAGTTGTTCCACGTCCTGCCTGGAACTTAAGAATTTTAATTCTATGAGTACCCTTGTCCTTGTGTTCCAGCTATCCTAAGTGCCCTCTACCCATACTACCCTGACCTTCAGGAAAACCAGTTCCAGACCCTCTTTGAGTTAATAGAGACAGACAATCGATCGTATGTTTTACCATGGTTAACTATGATTGCCAAGAACCAACCCTCTGTAAGTTTTGTTTTGTGAAAATGATGATTAAACCTTTGAATATAAGATCATTTATAACTAGTAGACGCTATAGCTAATGATATTTATGAAGTACATGTTTAATCCTTACAACGTGTTAATAATGAAATATGAGTCCTAGGTTTCTGAGAAATAAGAGATATTAAGATGCAGAAACATTTGGTACAGAGCTCATGATGCAAGAGTCAACACGTTGTGTCATAATTCTTCCCGACTGGGAATGTAGAGCTGCATGCGTTAGCCGACTGAAAATATCTTTTGCACACAACATTGATCAGGCGATAGGATAAGATGCACAGATATGTGAAATAGTAATTGCTCAAAGAGTTGATTTTATAACCATGTGAATCTTGATGATGTGTACAATTATTCTGTCATTTACACGTCACGGGGGCGTCACCGTGTGTAGAGAAAGAAAGCACCCCATAGACGACTTTATCAAACGGAAAAGTGTCTGTCCATTTCAGGTGTTCACCGAGAGAAACGTAAAAGAACTGATCAAGGAGATGTTCGAAGGCGACGACAATCTGTACAGTATGTATATGATGATCATGGAACAACTCTCCAAGAAGATGCCCAACGCGTTCATACCACACCTGAAAACCCTGATGCAAGGTGACATGAGCATTCAGCCTTATGCCAAGGCGAAGCTCTTCTCGATTCTAAAGAACTTAGCCATCGAGAGCGAAGATCAGGTAGTGATGTACATTCCTCTGCACGTTGAGTACACTTTATGACTGATAATCTTTAACTGCTGTCAGTGGCAAGTACTGAGAAGAACAAACAATCATTCATTTAAAGGCGTAAACTATGCAATCACTAATTAATCTTATAAGACAGAATGAAAACCGTTTTATCAAAACAAAGTGGCTTATTGTTCTTGTCATCTTGTTCGCTGTTGTAGTTTATGTTATCATATCATACACATTGTTACAAGAACACAGGTGGTTTACAATACGTGTCTTACTAGCATGGAATCCCTGGTCGACGATATCAAGGAGATGAAGGAGGATATAGTAAACTTGGACACACGAGTCACCCGAACGGAAGTTGGTCTGGTGTTGCTACACCAGGATTTGGATGAACAACGGATGGAGCTTGATGATGTCAAGGTTGATGTGAAGAAACATGGAAAGAAGATGACCAAACTGGAGAAGACGGTGGATAAGACTGAGGCTAAAGTGGAGGAACTTGACGGAAAGGTAAGCTATTGTTTTTTTCAGTTTGTAAGAAAGTGCTGTAGCTCAAGGCGAGAGCTACGAAATGGTATGTCGTGTCATACATCACATTACTGAATATGAGAAACATCGATAATGAATCTACTATTGATTATATCTAGACAAACAAAATCCCACAAAGGATAGGTGAAATTCATCAATGTGTAACACTCATGAATCGTGCAGACATTGAGTCACGCTCCCTTCTGGGCACGAGACGTGGCCAAACTCCTCAACCCCGAAGACCTTCTGGACTGGACGCTTCTCTCTATGCGTCTTGGCTACAGCAATGATGACATCCGGAGCTGGGCTCAGATGCACGACCCATGTATGGCCATGCTGAATGAATGGTACGCCACTCGGAAGACGAGGGAAGCCACATATGCTGTGCTGACAGCACTGCAAGAGATGGACAGATTGGACGCTGCTGTCATTGTGGAGAACGCAATGAAAAGGACCGGTACAAATCTTCTTACAGTACTCCGCGTAAATTTTGATTATGATCCTCAGACTAACGATATTAATTATCCATTGTTCTTTTGGTATTGACAACTTTTTGATTTATGAAGAACTTCTGAATGAATCGTTCATGCACTTATTTCAATAGTATCAGGAAAGAGGAACATTATGTTTTCATATGGAGAAATAGTATTATAAATTAATGTAAAAGTATTGCATTTTCTTTTTACTCCAGAAACTGTAGTGGAGGACGAAGAGTTCGAGTACCCGGAGCCTCCAGAGGTGTTCATCAGCTACCAGTGGGGAATCCAGAACGAGGTGAAGCTTCTGAAGCAGCACCTGGAGAAGGCGGGCTTCACGTGCTGGATGGACATTGGTCAGATGGGAGGTGGAGACAAGCTGTTCGAGAAGATCGACAAGGGAATCAGGGCAGCCAAGCTCGTCATCTGTTGTGTCACTGGGAAATATGCCAAGTCTCCAAACTGCAATCGAGAGGTATTTGTCCAGTTAATTTCAACTCAAAGTCTAGTTTCTAACTACATCAACAGTTTCAAATGTTCCTCCTTGCCAGAAAGTCTAGTTTCTAACTACATCAACAGTTTCAAATGTTCCTCCTTGCCAGAGAAGGCCAATACTTCAATTGCTGAGAAAATGTGATAAATGGCGTTGATATAGAAATAATCGTAATCTGTTGTGTCACTGGGAAATGTACCAAATCTCCAAACTGCAATAGAGATGAAAATTAAAACAATGTAACCTTTCTGTGAGAACAATAATTATATCACTAGTGTATGTTTGTATATTGAAAACAATTGTGAAGTAATCTTAAGTGCACACCTTTTATGTATATAGACCCATGATAGACCCGTAACAATTCAATGGTACTTAGTGTAACTGGAAGGAACGTTTCAGATATTCAGACAGAACATGTTCAGTAGTATAGTCAGGGAGAAATAGTTCAACTGAAATGAGGTGCGTCTAGTTTTGCATTGCGACTGTATTGGTCGGTGCACAAGAAGTGTACATAATAAATCAATTGTTCTATGAAATTATATGCATGTTGTGCATATGATTATGTCAAATGTGTCTGTCCTAAATGCACTGCTTCTGAAAGAACAAAACTTTCCTGTTCGTAACACACATTTGCTCATATCAGCACAACCTCCTAATAATCGGAAATTCCAGCACAATCTGTATGATTACTTTATCTCTCGGGAACCCTGTGGTGGAATTGTATTTGTTTATCCGCATTGGACACATTGACTTCTTCATTTCAATACTTTGCAAACTACTCCGATTTCAGGTGAACCTCTCGGTAAGCCTGGGTAAGCCCATCATCCCTCTGTTGATGGAGAAACTGTCATGGCCTCCACCAGGCTCAATGGGGCCAATCTTCAGTGAGTATCTGTTCATCCGATTCTTCACCCGTCCTGGGGAGGAGACTGGTGACGTCAGGTACTGGTCGGCAGCCAAGTTCCAGGAACTCCTGATGCAGGTCAACTACAACAACGTCAAGCCGGATGAGCAGAAGGTGGAAAAAAGGTGGGCAAACGTGGACACATAGACAGATAGAGGGGAGATGGGACGCAATGCTGCAAAACTGTGTTCACAGGAGATATTGCTTGTGTGCGATCAGATCTCCTAGGGGATATCGTTTTGATAGTAGATTTGCACAATGCCCTGACAATGCTATGACATCGCTGCATGATGTTAAGAAACAATATTTAGAATTGCCATGCACTTGTTTCATCCCTTTTCAGTAATGTTTCCTTATAGCGGAAAGAGGGTATGCAGAAGGTGGAAGGGGGATAAACAGAAGGCGGAAGAGGGTAAACAGAAGGGATAAGCAGAAGGTGGAAGGGGGTAAGGAGAAGGTGGAGGTTGGTAAGCAAGAAGATGAAAGGGGGCAGAAGGTGGAGGGGGTAAGCAGAAGGTGGAAGGGGGCAAGCAGAAGGTGGAACAGGGTAAGCAGAAGGTGGAAGAGGGCGCAAAGCAGAAGGGGTAAAGCAGAAGGTGGAAGGGGTAAGCAGAAGGTGGAAGAGAAGGTGGAAGGGGTAAGCAGAAGGTGGAAGAGGGTAAGCAGAAGGTGGAAGAGGGAGCAGAAGGTGGAAGAGGTAAGCAGAAGGTGGAAGAGGGTAAGCAGAAGGTGGAAGAGGGTAAGCAGAAGGTGGAAGAGGGTAAGCAGAAGGTGGAAGGGGTAAGCAGAAGGTGGAAGAGGGTAAGCAGAAGGTGGAAGAGGGTAAGCAGAAGGTGAAAGAGGGTGAGCAGAAGTGGAATAGGGTAAGCAGAAGGTGGATGGGGATAAGCAGAAGAAGGTGGAAGTGGGTAAGCAGAAGGTGGAAGGGGGTAAGCAGAAGGTGAAAGAGGGTAGGCAGAAGGGAGTAAGCAGAAGGGGGAAGGGGGTAAGCAGAAGGTGGAAGAGGGTAAGCAGAAGGTGGAAGGGAGTAAGCAGAAGGGGGTAAGCAGAAGGTGGAAGAGGGTAAGCAGAAGGTGGAAGAGGGTAAGCAGAAGGTGGAAGAGGGTAAGCAGAAGGTGGAAGAGGGTAAGCAGAAGGTGGAAGAGGGTAAGCAGAAGTGGAAGAGGGTAAGCAGAAGGTGGAAGAGGGTAAGCAGAAGGTGGAGGGTAAGCAGAAGGTGGAAGGGGTAAGCAGAAGGTGGATGGGGTGAAGCAGAAGGTGGAAGGGTAAGCAGTAGGTGGGGAAGAGGGTGGTGAAGCAGAAGGTGGAAGGGGGTAAGCAGAAGGTGGAAGGGGTGTAAGCAGAAGGTGGAAGGGGTAAGCAGAAGGTGGAAGAGGGTAAGCAGAAGGTGGAAGAGGGTAAGCAGAAGGTGGAAGGGGTAAGCAGAAGGTGGAAGAGGGTAAGCAGAAGGTGGAAGGGAGGGTAAGCAGAAGGGAAGAGGGTTAGCAGCAGAGGTGGAAGAGGGTAAGCAGAAGGTGGAAGGGGTAAGCAGAAGGTGGAAGAGGGTAAGCAGTAGGTGGAAGAGGGTAAGCAGAAGGTGGAAGGGGTAAGCAGTAGGTGGAAGGGGTAAGCAGAAGGTGGAAGGGGTAAGCAGTAGGTGGAAGGGGTAAGCAGTAGGTGGAAGAGGGTAAGCAGAAGGTGGAAGGGGGTAAGCAGAAGGTGGAAGAGGGTAAGCAGAAGGTGGAAGGGGTAAGCAGAAGGTGGAAGGGGCTAAGCAGAAAGTGGAAGGGGGTAAGCAGAAGGGGGTAAGCAGAAGGTGGAAGGATGTAAGCATAAGGTGGAAGAGGGTAAGCAGAAGGTGGAAGAGGATGGAAGGGGTAAGCAGAAGGGGGTAAGCAGAAGATGGAAGGGGTAAGCAGAAGGTGGAAGAGGGTAAGCTGTAGGTGGAAGGGGTTAAGAAGAAGTTTGAAGGAGGTAAGCAGGACAGAATGTGGCAACGGGTACATGTGAAACTAATGACAACTTATTATGTTCTTCCCAAGTGGCCGAGGATGTAGTGGAGTCAGGAAATGGTGCTTCTGGAAGGGCAGGGCATGCATACTATTTCGCAAACACCTGGTGTCACATCAAGTCATATTACTTTCACAATTATTTTGCCTGTGAGCCCAAGGAATCAGCAGAAAATCAAACTGATTATTATCAAATTATTAATTTCAAAAATGGTTGATGCATTTGTGAACAGTTCTTCTGTCAGAGTTGTTATTTAGTTTCACAATCCCAGATGAATATGCTTTGTCACATACATTCATGCACACAGAATACAAGAACTGGTGGTGTCCTGTGGCTGAAGTCATCAAGATAGACAAGAAGGACGTGAAGACGATGACGGCTGCCAGTCAACAGAAGCAGGAGGAGGTGGAGGTATGTTAACTAAGCCATGAAATAAATACTTGACATGAAAATCGTACCCATAACCAAAGTGACAGTCGATTAGCTAAATTGATACACAAATATTGTTTTCTTACAGCGTGGATCAGCGTCTCCTGATGTGTTCATCTCCTACCAGTGGGGAAAACAGAAGCAGATTCAGCTCATGTACAAGCGCCTGACTGAGATGGGCTTCACCGTCTGGATGGACATCTACCAAATGGGAGGTGGGGACTCCCTATTTGACAAAATTGACAGGGGCGTGCGAGGGGCAAAGGTCGTTCTCTCATGTGTCACCTCGAAGTATTCTCTGTCGGCCAACTGCCGGAGGGAAGTCAGTCTTGCTGATGCTCTCAAGAAACCAATAGTGCCTCTGTTGCTGGAGAAGATGACGTGGCCACCATCTGGTCCGATGAGCATGGTGTTCACTCAGCTGTTGTACATCAACTTTGGGAAGGATGAAACTGTACAGGAAAGGTGGGATGGAGAAAAGTTTGATGAAATGTTGACGGCAATAGATCAATATGTGCCAAACATCATACTGGTGGGAAAGGGGAATAGTGCGATATCTCAACAACCACAACAACCAAGGCACCAGCAACAACCCCAACAGCAGCAATCATATCAACAACCCCAACAGCAGCATCCATATCGACAACCATATCAACAACCATATCAACACCAACAAGTTTATTCTCAACGGTACCCCAACACAATCAACCCCAAAAGAGCTCGTCATGTATAATTTTGTAGAACCCACTTCACCCAAACTAACAGGCACATATGTGGAATTTGGATTCTTTACACCAAGGTTTTGTTTCTTGCCTCAGACTTATTTGTTGCTGAGAATTGACGATAGCAATACATATTTCAGAATACATTTCCACGTCTATGCATTGTATTGCCTCTGATGTTGTCTCAAGTTGATCAATGAGGGGTACGGCTATCCCCTTCACACAGTCGTTACAGATTAGTCTTTGATTTGAAAGTGGATTATGTATGAATACTTTATTAACCATGTGTGTTATTTAACTGCAATTTGATTTAGTCATTCAAAACGGTTCATCATGACATTTATCTCAGTGGATACAAGAATGCCTTCAAAGACCTATTGGACTATGAAACTGTGGACTATCATGTAACAGAAAATATGCGAGGTTGGATGTACAATTGCAGTTTATTTGTTAGTCATCGTTAAAGTCTGAAGCACTGTACAAGAGTCCCTACCTGTCTACAGGAATACGCCAATGTTTCGGTTACATTTACAGAGTGTTCTCTATCATTGTCTCCATCATCGCCCACTTCCCGCTTCCATACCAATGGACAATGATGATAATGTAATTCGCCTCTTGTTGAGGAAGTATTTTAGTGTGCCGGGATGATCCAGACTTTCCTGGGATAAAGATCCGTAAGGACACCATGGTCATTTGCTCCTGGTTATGGTTGTGACAAGTTGTGATGTCATAGGGAAACTGTGTGCGTTTCGATAGAAAAGTCGATAGAAATTGTTTGCTCATGTTGATTAGTGCTAGATGTGCTAGATATCATTGTGTTAAGAATATGTTTCTTCCCGATCACTCCCATATTAACAGCATCTTTTTTCAAGAATTCCTTCTTTGATTAATGTAGCCAAATTCCACTTGTTTTAGAGAGTAGATGTAAGACGTATGTTTCAACAATTGTAATGAACTATTTTCATGTATTCTTTAATAAAAGCAAACTGTGATATACTTATGAAGTCATGATCTTCAACATGCTTATTATTCCTGTTTTTTTATGAAATTGTTTTCTAATTGTTATGACTGTGATTATGTGTAGCTGTTAGAATTGACTATTTACTTGTGTTGTGTGGGTGAAATACACCATGAAGAAGTCTTACCGTCACGGGTCCATTTTACTTAGTTACCGACCTGAACTTGACATGAAGGACGCCAATCAGGCCATCCCACCTGGTTCGTAATTTTAGATCTTTGCATATAGATTCTGATTGACAAACTCCTCACATGTCCATCATTGTCCTCGCACATATATGACTGTCATCCAGAGACCTGGCCTGGTTCGTTAGGCATGATACGTATTTGACGAGAAAAGTCAGTTGAATACGATGTTTATGACGTACTTGTATACTTACATATAAAGAGATGGAGATCACATAAGGTGTTGTTTTGTTTTGTTCTTCAACCTTTAAATAGCACAAGTATGTATGGCTGCCAAATGTTGCGTGTGAATTAAATGAAGTTTAAATGCAGGGAAGGCAAGCTGTCAAAGATGTGTCATTGCTTTACATCCGATTTATAGCGTCCAGCGTGCGGTGTCGTCGTTTGTGATGCTTGGATTATTGCAGGCATGCGTGGGGCGCACTGTGGACACTGATGTGCCAGCTATTGTACCAGACTGGCCACGTCTGATCCGTTGATCCTATTGTGCCAGACTGGCCACGTCTGAGAGCAGGTCCGCTGTGGAGATGCAGGTCCGCTGTGGCCATGCTTTTGTCTGACGTCTGAGTCCGTTGTGGACACTGACACTATCAGTATAAGGGCCACGTCATTTGGTTTCACTGACAGCTGGTTCTACTGTGGACACTCACAGTAAAGACTGGCCACGTCTGAGAGCATCCGCTGTGGACACTCATGCATTGTTGGCCACGTCTTGCAGGTCCGCTGTGGACATTCTATCAAAGTTGTGTATGCTAGACTGGCCAGAAGCGTCCGCTGTGGACACTGAAGACCAGACTGTCCACGTCTGAGTGCAGACTGTGTATTGCAATATTTGGTTGCCTTGATATTGAATATGTTTTCAATGAATTCTATTTGTGTTCAACCAGAAGCGTAAATCAACACTATCCCTGTATTGCAATATTTTTTGTTAATTGAATAGTTTTGATATTTGCAATTCGGTATCCCGGAAGTCCACCTTAATAAGGTCAGTGGGGTGTACACCCAGAACAGAAACATACTTTACATAGGTGCACTAATCTAACTACACAGCTTGGTAGCATCTTTCGGCTAGAATAGATTAGACAAGATATTTTCTGTTTATGCTAACGAACATCGAACATTTCCCATTGAAAAGTCCAACTCCAACAGCCACTGACGTGGACGGAATGTCAACTTTGCTGATGTTTCTTTGTTTGCTACTCTTAGGATGTGGACAACAGGGTGAAAGAGATGAGAGAGAACCTTGGAGATGGTCGGGAACACCTTCAATTGCTGAGTGTGGCGTTCAGCTCATTCACCTACTGTACAAAAGGCGTGCTTTGTCTGAAACGAGAGACAGTGATGGAGCGGCATACAACATTCATTCAAGATAGCATTAATTCATTATGCAGTTTGGGGTAGCCCTCAGGGAATCTGTGTCAACATCTACATCCAGCCAAGGTACAAATACACACCATCAGGATATACTGAGACGCCACCAGGGTACAGATACACGCCATGAGGGTACACTGAGACACCACCACGGTACAGATACACGCCATGAGGGTACACTGAGACGCCACCAGGGTACAGATACACACCATGAGGGTACACTGAGAAGCCATCAGGGTACAGATACACGCCATGAGGGTACACTGAGACGCCACCACGGTACGGATACTCACGATGAGGGTACACTGAGACGCCATCAGGGTACAGATACACACCATGAAGGTACACTGAGACGCCATCAGGGTACAGATACACCCCATGAGGATACACTCAGACGCCATCAGGGTACATATACACACCAATAGGATACACTCAGACGCCATCAGGGTACAGATACACCCCATGAGGGTACACTCAGACGCCATCAGGGTACAGATACACGCCATAAGGATACACTGAGAAGCCATCAGGGTACAGATATACCCAATGAGGATACACTCAGACGCCATCAGGGTACAGATACACGCCATGAGGATACACTCAAACGCCATCAGGGTACAAGGGTACAATAACACACGATGAGGGTACACAGAGACGCCATCAGTGTACAGATACACACCACGAGGGGACACTGAGACGCCAGCAGAGCACAACTGACAATCAGCCAATATCCCGCTACATTATCCCCAGTTTAGTAGGCTCTTTCAGGAATATTGACTCAGGTATTTTCACAGAGGAAATTAGCACAACCATGTGATATGGCAAAATGCGAATGTTACTGTGTACCACTGTGAAGCGACGTCCAGACGTGTGTTGGTGATGAAACATGACCAAGGTGATTAGTCTTCAGGATCGTTTATTCGATGATTGCACAATACAGAACTGATATAGCACTCGAGAACAATCAACGACAGTTTACTATAGACAGTCGAGGTTCAATAAACATGAACTGCCGGACAAAAGAAGGCACATACACATTTCTTAAATAAAACATCTTTTCTCTTTATGGTGATATATTTGATTCGGGTATCGACGTTTTCTTTACATTGCAATGTCATGTTTACAATGTTTACGCTTCGGAATCCTCACAACGTATTGAAAACGTTTGTAATAGTTTGGTAACATCTAGTTTTCAAGTATATCCTTTCTTTCGGTCAGACAGTTTACATAAGTCAGGATTTGTATATAACAGCTTAAATAGAAGAATAATCAAACATATGATAAGACGTTTTGAAAATGAATCACACACAATTTTCATCACAGTTAGATACAAGTAAATATATGAGGCATCATGGACGGTTTCAACACGTATTTTGTAACACTTTGTGGATGGCCTTCACACCCACGTGTATATTCACAGTACACTCAGCAGCCAGCGGTATCACAGTTCGGGATCACAAGTGTGCTTTTCACAAGTAAACATTTTGATCTGATTCACATTAACAAATGATCATTTCATACTATATAATAAATTCATTACCCTTAAAATAAATAACATTTCTGTGAGCATACAAGCCAACCATACTTCAAGCATATTACAGTAATAACATATTATTTAGTAATAAGAGCATTCTGAAATACACATGGCGTATCAAAACTGTTTATGCCATACATTCGCAATATTGTGATCACACTAAATCATACCATTTCGAAGGGTCACACTAAAGCATACTATTTCAACGGGTTTCTATATATTCGTAACAACATGATGGACATATATTCCACAGAACTGGGCATCTCTCCTACAACAGATAAATAATATCAATCAGTCTCGTTTCTCCAGATTCCAAAACTATACGAATGGATCACTGAAGGCACCATATCAAAGGCCTCAAATCGTCACTACAAGATCAAACAGGACCTTGACTTCTTTTGCTCAGGTTGATTGGGCATTGGTTGATGCGTTCGTGGTTGTTGCTGTTGCTGCGGTGGGCGCTGTTGAGGAGGTGGCTGTTGATGCTGCGGCGGGGGCTGTTGAGGAGGTGGCTGTTGATGCTGTTGAGGAGGGGGTTGTTGATACTGCTGTGGTGGTGCTTGCTGCTGTTGAGATTGCTGTTGTGTCTGTGGTGGTTGTTCAGGCTCTACTGTTGGTTCTGGTTCCGGGGTAGGTGGCGGTATGTCCTTTTTATCTTCAGTATTCACAGATTCCTCCTGTTCCTCCTCATCTGACACGATGATATCCGGCACATACTGGTCCAGTTTAGTCAACAGTTCATCAAACTTGTCTCCGTCCCATCTTTCCTGTACAGTTTCATCCTTCCCAAAGTTGATATACAACAGCTGAGTGAACACCATGCTCATTGGACCTGATGGTGGCCATGTCATCTTCTCCAGCAACAGAGGAACTATTGGTTTCTTGAGGGCATCAGCAAGACTGACTTCCCTCCGGCAGTTGGCCGACAGAGAATACTTCGAGGTGACACATGAAAGAACGACCTTTGCCCCTCGCACACCCTTGTCAATTTTGTCAAAGAGGGAGTCCCCACCTCCCATTTGGTAGATGTCCATCCAGACGGTGAAGCCCATCTCAGTCAGGCGCTTGTACATGAGCTGAATCTGCTTCTGTTTTCCCCACTGGTAGGAGATGAACACATCAGGAGACGCTGATCCAGACTGTAAATATTCAATACGAATTAAGAAGAAAGAAGAAATGTAACATATCAACAGTGTATGTTCTCTCATAGCCATATTCATGTAAAAACTATACTGTTCAAAACGATGCTATCGTAAATATTGGAATGAATAAAACGCTTTCAATAGCCGTTGGAAATATTTGCTAAAATTAAAGTCTACTGTGTCAATCCGTCTAAAGTATAACTGCAAAACAGTGAAAGGTTCCGAGTAAATCTAAGATCTGAAGAGACCCTGTCTTACCTAATGTCTTTACAAACAACTCGTACAAAGCTGCACATAAACAAGTGATACACATGCTCGACGAAAGTAATAATTTCGGAAGTATACTGAAGTTAATATTCAAACTGGCCTGCTCTACCAACCTCCACCTCCTCCTGCTTCTGTTGACTGGCGGCCGTCATCGTCTTCATGTCCTTCTTCTCTATCTTGATGACTTCAGCCATAGGACACCACCAGTTCTTGTATTCTGTGTGACAAAAAACTGTCATGTTATGACACTTCTTCACATTCATGTGAATTCCAACATTAGGCAAAACGCTATGAGGAAACATTACTGAAAAGGATGAAACAAGTGCATGGCAATTCTACATATTGTTTTCAACATACCTCTTAAACATATGGAAAACGTCGAACATATATTGCATTTCAATCAGATACGCAAGCACGCAAGCATGCATGCACATACATAGAGAATCTCACCCCAGTGTCTTTTGATATCAAATATATCACCACGTGTTGATAAAAAATCACTCTTCATTAGTTTTCGATGAAAAATGTACATCTCTGAACACAGTACTGCCATTTGACATGCAGTGCACCGATGTCATAGCATTGTCAGGGCATTGTGCAAAATCTACTATCAAAACGATATCCACCTAGGACATCTGATCGCACACAAGCAATATCTCCTGTGGAACACAGTTTTTGCAGTCTTGTGTCCCATCTCCCTCTATCTGTCTATCTGTTCAGGTTTGCCCACCTTTTTCCACCTTCTGCTCATCCGGCTTGACGTTGTTGTAGTTGACCTGCATCAGGAGTTCCTGGAACTTGGCTGCCGACCAGTACCTGATGTCACCAGTCTCCTCCCCAGGACGGGTGAAGAATCGGATGAACAGATATTCACTGAAGATTGGCCCCATTGAGCCTGGTGGAGGCCATGACAGTTTCTCCATCAACAGAGGGATGATGGGCTTACCCAGGCTTACCGAGAGGTTCACCTGAAGACAAGAAATTTAAAACTCATTGTACATTGTACATCATTGATCACAATTACATGCAAGTAGGTCACATGTTCACAGTAATTGATATATCCATCCACACCCCTGATAATTGAAGCCAAGAATATCTATATATTCATTTTTGCAAATTTTAAACTTAATATGAATAGAAAATACACTTTGCTTTGAATTGAACTTAACCAAATACCTCTCGATTGCAGTTTGGAGATTTGGCATACTTCCCAGTGACACAACAGATGACGAGCTTGGCTGCCCTGATTCCCTTGTCGATCTTCTCAAACAGCTTGTCCCCACCTCCCATCTGACCAATGTCCATCCAGCACGTGAAGCCCGCCTTCTCCAGGTGCTGCTTCAGAAGCTTCACCTCGTTCTGGATTCCCCACTGGTAGCTGAGGAACACCTCTGGAGGCTCCGGGTACTCGAACTCTTCGTCCTCCACTACAGCCTCTGAGGAACGTTTCATTAATACTATGATTACAAGATCTCGATTCGATTTTTTAAACAAATGAACTCGCACTTTGATGAAAGCTACAACTGTCACGAAAGTATAGATTCTCTCCATCAGCATTGAATAGTATGATTGCTAAGATTTGGTAAACAAGTAAGAAAGTGTTGTGAAATAGGTGATAAAATGCATTGTTTACCTGTCATCTTCATTGCGTTCTCCACAATGACAGCAGCGTCCAATCTGTCCATCTCTTGCAGTGCTGTCAGCACAGCATATGTGGCTTCTCTCGTCTTCCGAGTGGCGTACCATTCATTCAGCATGGCCATACATGGATCGTGCATCTGAGCCCAGCTCCGGATGTCATCATTGGTGTAGCCAAGACGCATAGAGAGAAGCGTCCAGTCCAGAAGGTCTTCGGGGTTGAGGAGTTTGGCCACGTCTCTTGCCCAAAAAGGAGCGTGACTCAATGTCTGCACGATTCATGAAAGAGAGCCGTAAATCCTATAATGATTTTTATATACTTTGACGGTGCAGTCAGTGGCAAACGTAATGCTTTTCCTTAGATGTTGTTCGCTACAGTAGTAAATATCATGGTTTTTTTGGTTGTTATTGTCGGATAATTCGGTTGTCTCCACTTTAGCAGTCATGACCTACAAGGGTTTGTTACCTTTCCGTCGAGTTCCTCCACTTTAGCCTTGGTGTCATCCACTGTCTCCTCAAGCTGGTCAATCTTCTCGCCTTGAGCCTTCACATCTACTTTGACCCCATCCAGCTCCTCGCGCTGTTCACCCACCTCTTGGTTAAGCAGGACCAGGCCCACCTCAGTCCTGGTCACTCGTGTGTCCAGTTCCTCAACATCTTCCTTCACATCTTTGATGTCCTCAGCCAAGGACTCCAGGCTTTAGGTTTAAAATATATAGTTCATAACCAGATACAATATTCAATAAACGTTTCAGTGTTTTTTACATTTCTAAAAGGAAACAATTTTGACCAGGAACAATGAATTCGGACCTTATCTGGACAGAGCCAACATATTCTCACCTTCTGCCTTCCAGGACATCCAAGATGAAGGTACACTGGTCCTTTGTTGTCTGTGACGTAGTCCGTTTCCTCAAGTCCTCTATGGCTGGTTTACGACGTTCTAACAGTGGTCGGTATACGCCGCCTATAGCCCGCATCTCATTCAGGCAGGTGGTAGTCACCATGTCATCTTCAGGACCCCGAAGGAGCTTCTCCAGGTATATCATACAATCCTCTGCCACAGCCTGTGTTACAAAAATATGCTATGAGTATGGCCATACATATAATCTTTTGAAGCACGTTACATATTTCGGTCCTCTATTTGTTTGATAAATCTAGTAACAGATCAATGGTTTGAAATACGTGAACAAACTTATTGTCTTTAAGATTGAATTTCATTAATCACCTGTTGTTACTGATACGTTCATCCCTGTATGACCAGCATGAAGGGACGTACTGTTAGATGTGACTTATCAGTCAACAGGAGCCTTTGGCATACTGTAAGGGACATTTCTCGAGCTAACTATGCAAAATGTTCTGGCGATCGCGCATTCTTGCACATAATTCTTTTCAATTTGCTGCGAAGGGTTACAATCCTGAGAACGACAGAACGTTCCTTACAGTATTCCCTAGAAACCTGTACTGGATGTGTTTGCATGTGTACTAACATTATTCAAACAAGTCCAGTCTACCGTTGCCATCAAAGCCGGTTTTATAAACAACATCTATATTCTTACATCATTTAACAGTTTCCAGTTTTTCGTCCACGGAGCTGTCATAGTGCATGTGTTTCAGCCTTAAATATTTCTCTCAAAAACATAATCGAGTTGCCTCTGACTTTGTAAAACCTCCTGCACTTCTTATTGATAAACAATACTAAAAGTCAAAATAAGCCAAACTTGTGTATAAACAAATACCTTTCAGTAATCAATGCATAGAAGTTTCACTGTTTTGCCTGTTGTGTTTTTTTCGAGTTTGATGGCTAACAATGATTTTAGGAGTTTCAAGGCATTCTGACATTCTGATATTGTCTTTAGTAATTTGAAATATGCTAATAAAGTGATAATAGGGAATACTATTGGAATTTATTAAGAATAGTGTACCTCATCTTCACTCCTAATCGCTACGTTCTTGAGAACCAGGAAGAGTTGATACTTGGCACCATACTGTGAGTTAACATCGCCATCCTTCAAGGCCTTCAGATGGGGGATGAGGATGAGTGGAACCTTCTTGGAGAGTGCTTCCAAGATCATCATGTATGTTGCCTGCATTCTTTCATCGCCTTGGAACATCTCCTCAATCAGCTTAGCAATATTGTCGTCCGTGAACAACTAGAACAGTTGAAATACCCTCAGATAGTTACATGCATGGTACGGCCTTTTGAAGTGTCTTGCTGCATAAGTGTGACCTATCTGTCGTTTTAAGTTCTACTATGTGTGTCATAATGGTTTGCTTTTACGCCATCAGTAATTTCACTGTTTAATGATAATGGTTAGTCCGTCGTTTCACGTTTGTTATGTTATCATCCTAATCTCACTATAAACAAAGATCTACACAGGTCAATTTTACGAAATATGCATAGTGAGTGAGTGAGTTTAGTTTTACGCCGCACTCAACAATATTCCAGTTATATGGCGGCGGCCTGTAAATAATCGAGTCTGGACCAGACAATCCAGTGATCAACAGCATGAGCATCGATATGCGCAATTGGGAACCGATGACATATGCCAACTAAGTCAGCGAGCCTGACCACCCGATCCCGTTAGTCGCCTCTTACGACAAGCATGGGTTACTGAAGGCACATTCTAACCCGGACCTTCACGGGTGAAATATGCATAGAGTGTTTGGTGTTCGTAAGGTTTCTCGACAACATGACATTGCAACATTTGCTTTAAGTCATTGACGGAAACACAGAAATGCATTTTAACATATGTATCTTTAAAAAAGTATTAAAATTTTTGAAACAAAATTACGTTGAAAGAGAAAGTGTTTGATGATACTGCTTTTGATTGGCCAGTGACTTTTATGTCTTACAGACAAGACATTAATTATATAAAACTCTTAGATTTCCAATTTATATTTTTACATAGTATAATTTATACCCAAAAGGAACTGTTACAAATTAACCTTATCCAAAGTGGCTCATGCGGCTTTTGTAAAGATGAGGATGAAAACTTGTGCCATGTTTACTGGGAATGTTGTGAAACTAAGAAGTTTTAGACTGATCTTCAAATTTGGATTAACACCCATTGATACAAAAAGTTAATCTGACAAAACCTTTGGTGTAATTTGGTTCCTTAACTAAAACCCATTACTTAATCATATAATCATTTCAGCAAAGAGACACATTTATGTCTCTTCTCTGAAAAGCAATATTCCAAAATGCAATATCTGTATAAAGACTTTAAAAGATATTTTTTTCTGTTGAAAGCTTCATTGCCAAAACGAAGAGTGAAATGAAAATATTTGCAAATAAATGGCATCAGTTATTTCCAGTATTCAAACCTGACCTGTGTATGCAGCAACCGCTTTTGCAAAATCTTGATCTGTTTCCCCTTTTGAAAAATTATCTTTGTTTTAGCTATGTATTGATTAATTAGTTACCGTATTTGTAGGTGCACTGATGTAACATTGGGAACATATATTATAGGGCGGATATATGACACAATATACAACACAATAAGTAGGATGTGGCGCAATATACAATACACATTGGATGTGACACAAGACACAGCATGATATGTCAGATGTGGCACTATATACAACATATGTTAGATAAGACGCATATACAATATATGTTAGATAAGACACTATGTACAACACGATAGGTCGGACGTGACTCTATATACAACATCGTATGTCGGGTGTTGCGCTATATACAACATGATATGTCAGATGTGGCACTATATACAACATATGTTAGATAAGACGTATATACAATATATGTTAGATAAGACACTATGTACAACACGATAGGTCGGACGTGACTCTATGTACAACATCGTATGTCGGGTGTTGCGCTATATACAACATGATATGTCAGATGTGGCACTATATACAACATATGTTAGATAAGACGTATATACAATATATGTTAGATAAGACACTATGTACAACACGATAGGTCGGACGTGACTCTATGTACAACATCGTATGTCGGGTGTTGCGCTATATACAACATGATATGTCAGATATGGCACTATATACAACATATGTTAGATAAGACGTATATACAATATATGTTAGATAAGACACTATGTACAACACGATAGGTCGGACGTGACTATATACATCATCGTATGTCGGGTGTTGCGCTATATACAACATGATATGTCAGATGTGGCACTACATACAACATATGTTAGATAAGACGTATATACAATATATATCAGATAAGACAACTATGTACAACACGATAGGTCGGACGTGACTCTATGTACAACATCGTATGTCGGGTGTTGCGCTATATACAGCATGCTATGTCACATGTGGCACTACATACAATATATGTCAGATAAGACGTATATACAATATATGTCAGATAAGACAACTATGTACAACACGATAGGTCGGACGTGACTCTATGTACAACATCGTATGTCGGGTGTGGCGCTATATACAACATGATATGTTAGATGCGGCTCTATGTACAACATCGTATGTCGGGTGTGGCGCTATATACAACATAATATGTTAGATGCGGCTCTATGTACAACATCGTATGTCGGGTGTGGCGCTATATACAACATGATATGTTAGATGCGGCTCTATGTACAACATGGAATGTTGGATGTGGCGCTATATACAACATAATATGTCAGAGGTGTATGCAATATACAACATGATATGTTGGTTGTGGCGCATTATACAACATGATTGATCAGATGTGATGCAATATACAATGAGATACGAGGGATGTGATGCAATATACAGCATATGTCAGATGTGGTGTTTTAAACAATAGGACATGTTGTACATGATGCTATATACAACATGACATGTCAGATGTAATGCTATACATTTTATGATATGTCGGATATATATATATAGCATGATATTTCGGATGTTACGCTATTTACAACATATGTTGGATGTGGCCCCATATACAATATGATATGTCGGATATGGTGCTATATACAACATGACAGGTCGTATGATATGCTATATACAATACGATATTTCGGATATGACACTATATACAACTTATTTTGGATGTTGCGCAATATACAACAAATGTTGGATGTGACCCCATATACAATATGATATGTCTGATATGGCACTATATGCAACACTGTATGCTGCATGTTGCGCTATATAAAACATGATATGTTGGGTGCGGCACCAGATACAACACAGGCTGATATTTCACTGGTCTAACTATGTTACATCCTGGTATGTTGGATATCTGATGATGTTCATGTATTTGTATATGTCATTATGTAACGGCCGTTTATGATGGAAGACTTTGGTTACATGAAATAATAAATTAAATTTAAAAAATTACGTTGAACATTACTGTCATGAGTGTGTGGAAAAACAGATATACAATGTGTTGTATAGCAACCCACGGTCGATGGAGTCGCTGTATCAGCTAGCCCGTATGAATGACAGGCCTCTTGCGTGCAGTAGGAACGTCAAGTTTGGAATGAAAACATCTAGTCAACCTTGACCGAAACACCTCCATACATATGTAATTTGAGCTTTGTGTGGACCAACGTCCTACAGCGCCTCTCGATCTGGGGCGCTATATGGCGAAATAGTGCCGATACGACGTTTAACTCACTCACGATCCGTACAGCTGATATTTGAACCCCTATGTGTATATTATTATGTGACTATAAACAGTTACATCACTGACACAGTACTTCCAGTATTACACCAACTTACGTTTGGTTGTTTCTTGGCTACCTCTCCAAACCAGTGCAACACTGACGATCGTTGTGGGGTGTCGATCAGCTCGAACAGTGTTTGGAATTGTTGATCTTGAAGTTTGGGGTAGTATGGATAGATCTGACTCAGCGGATCTGCAAAAACAGAACAGTCACACAGTCACATCCTCTATGATGCAGTGAAATCTCTCCGTGACAGCGTCCTGAGAAACAAATTCAGAGAGTCCTGTAAATGACATTGTGTCTTCATAGCTCTTTCCCGTGGGAGCCCTGCCAATTTACACTTGTCAGAGGGGTAGACAAAATACGTGATTTAGACCAAAGGTTGTCCGACTTCCATGTTTGTTTAAGCCTCGATGGCTGAGTGGGTTAGATGGCTGACTTTGTGTGCTTTCATTTAGGTGCCTGTTTTGAGAGCGTGGGTTCGAATCCCGGATGAGACTCAACCCAACAAAGTACTAGAATTAGTATTTTACAGAGAAAGTATAATCCCACATACAACATTAAAAAAGCCAGAGCGACACATACACAATAATGCCGAGTTCTCTGTGTCCATGTAGATTTCCATCAGCCTGGGAAAGAAAGGTACCATGACCTTGGCCCCATTCGCAACAACAACGGTCACCTGGGTCGTGGCTATGTCAGACACTTCGTTAAATTCATGAGTCATCAAGTTGACAATCTCCCTCACTACCAGGATGGCTCGCTGCACCTTCTCCTGGTCATCCAGCTGTTGAAGGGAGAAAAAGTATTAGTCAGGATATAAGTAAAGCATGTTTCATCACACAGTGTGGCAAAGGTATCACCTGGGATAAACATGTGTCTTCTACATGGGGTAGGATTCAATAGATGGGTTACATCAAATTTTACGCTGACCTTAATTTGGAACACATTATCCATAATATCCCGACAGGTGAGAAAGAGGTTTCAAATAAAGGGAGTGAGTTGATCACTAACCTTGTCCATGATGTAGTATACATATTTTAGATGTGTCTACTGTTCAGAGTTATGTCCCTTACAACAAATGTATGCGTGTGGGTTCGAACCCCAATTCAACTCTGAATATGGTTATAGGTTAGTCAGCAAGATTCGTTTGAAACATGCTGTTCAAAGTCATGCTGAGACATGTGCTCCGGTTGAAGCTTTTCAGACCAGTAAAGAAAGAGTTGAATTCGAACCTTCAACGTTTGTTTCCTGAACAAACATTTCATACAACACGCCTTCCTTAAGTTGAATATTTTGAAACTAAACTACTTACAAGCTGGAGGAACTTTGTGCCGACTGAACAGTACAGCTGGAAATACACTGTAGTTGGTTTGTTAGATTCCTCATCAATGAAGTCTCCCTGCATCACAGTTTTCACGAAGTAGGCAATGGCACCTAGATCCCTTTCAGTAATGGTTTTGGGTTCTCTGCAAGGATAACCAATGGAATGAGCCTTCAGTGTTTATACATCCTCATAATGTTACATTTAATCTGTTTGGGGTGTCTGTAAGATAACCAATGGAATAAGCCTTCAGTGTTTATACATCCTCAGAATGATACATTTTATCTGTTTGGGTTCTCTGTAAGACAGGCAATAGAATGAGCCTTCAGTGTTTATACATCCTCATAATGATATATTTAATCTGTTGGGGTTCTCTGTATGACAGGCAATGGAATAAGCCTTCAGTGTTTAAACATCCTCATAATGTTATATTTTGTCTGCTTGGGTTCTCTGTATGACAGGCAATAGAATGAGCCTTCAGTGTTTACACATCCTTATTAAATTATATTTAATCCATTTAAGTATATCATCAATATGTCTCACGTGTTTATCCTCTGCCGATGCCATTTAATCTGATTCAGGATGTACGTCAGAGTAGCTTTCTATTATTTTATCCTGTGTACAAGTACCTCGTCCTCTAGGATCGAGTCCCCTAGTTTCTAAAGCTGTGTTTAAAGGTACGACTCACAAAGCTTCAATGGCACCCGACGCCAGCGTCACAACCATCCTGCCCGAGTACCCGAACCAATCGGCGTTCCAGGGGAAGTTTGGATCCTTCAAGTACGGCAAGAGCTTGGAAAACGTCGACATTATCAGGTCCTTGTTTTTCTGATAAGACGTAATAAATAGAACACGCATTACAAGATTTAACTATGTTATAAGCTCGATAAATATTTTTGGGGATAAATTTCCTAGTTTTAACTTTTAGAACAATTAAGAAAAATTATCAGAAATTCGTGCTCACCCTTCCGTTGAACTCGATTTCATCTGCAATTTCACTCCCAGCTTCAAACAGGAGTCCTTCTCTCTTCTCCATAAAGTTCAGACTAAATTCCACCATTTTGTCAACCATCTGGGGAATAACACGATCTCTTCTGGAAACAAAATGTATAACACTTGCAGTAAATCACAGTTATACGGCCCCAGTACAGGACAGAATTCTGTACATCCTGCACCTATGTTCTCTGGGTTAACTGGTTAAGTAGTACCACAGCTACAGTGACGTCGTGTCATGGTAGAGTGACAGGAGAGGATTCTGTACATCCTGCACCTATGTTTTCTGGGTTAACTGGTTAAGTAGTACCACAGCTACAGTGACGTCGTGTCATGGTAGAGTGACAGGACGGGATTCTGTACATCCTGCACCTATGTTTTCTGGGTTAACTGGTTAAGTAGTACCACAGCTACAGTAACGTCGTGTCATGGTAGAGTGACAGGACTGGATTCTGTACATCCTGCACCTATGTTCTCTGGGTTAACTGGTTAAGTAGTACCACAGCTACAGTGACGTCGTGTCATGGTATAGTGACAGTGGACATGTGGCCATCACGGAATGACAGGTCTCTGTGTGCTACAGGTCTCTGTGTCGCCCCTTGTCGTAATGTTTATTACTTTCATCGACGTTTTAGTTAGTCATGCAATACCTGTGTCTTTTTTATGCAACCACATACATATAAGATTTTTACTTTGACATATTCTTATATTCTTCTTATTGTCTTATGGCTTTGAGTAAAAGAAAACCCTACTAGAGTTTTTCCCAACAGAGGTAGGTGACTTGACCAGATGTCTGTCAATGTAATTAATCTGACGTTGTTGCAATGTTAACCTCGGTAGATTTGAAATGCACCTGTGTATTTGTGTCACGTCAGTTGTGTATTAGAGCGGACAAATCAGTACTGTTAACCTATTAACATCCCCATGTTAGAGGTTCTCAGGCTGTGAGAGTCACACTATCTAATGTATTATGTTTTAGCTTACATAGGATGAATTATATTCCGTAATGAAAAGAAATAATGCCCACAGTATAATACACTGTAATTAGTGTAACACGGTACAAGAACATTGATAGCAGTTTGTAAGAGTAGGATATCAGTTGTTGATATGATCGATGCAAGGTTTAACAATGTGGGTAAATATACATGTTTACTATAGTAGGTAAATACTCGCCGTGATTCACAATGACAGCTTAAATAGACAGAGGTTCGCCATTTAGGCGTCCACAATGTGTTTTACTATGTAACTAAAAGCACACATATCTTTCACCACTATGGAGGTTTATCTCAATGTAGTGTTTTAATAGATTTTATTGTTGTTGTTGTTTAATGCCACAGTGTAAATAATCGATCTTGGATCTGACAATCTACTGATAGACATCATCAGTATCGATCTATGTAATCGGGATACGGTGATATGCATCCGATCCCCTTAGTCAACTCGTATAACAAGCAGGGTTATCATAAACACATTCTAGCCCTCATCGTCACGGCTGTTGCAATATGAGAGGAAAAGGTGTAGCAGATCCACATACTGTGACACGAAGACAAAGCTCCACAAAGACTAGCTCCAAGACACAACATGTAGAAGAATGTAAGTAAGTCCAGACTCTGTATTCCGACACGATGCCTCTCTATCATGGATTAACGACAACGGACGTTAACAAGACATAAGCCTGGTTATTTGCTCGAAAAACGATGTTTCATTTTAGTCGGCTCTCGCGACAAGTCGACAAGTAGTCAAAGGGCTAATTCTAATTCAGAATTTCTGCCGCAGAAGAGATTCTGTAGGTGGAAATATCACAGGTATGAAATCCTGCTCCACGTTGTTTTTGTGTGTGCAATGCAGGCAATGGTGTTCTATACACGTTTTGCTAGTACACTTTACTTAAAGTATGGATATAATTGTAACCTTACTTCAACTGATCGGCTAAGTAACTGCAAACGTCTTTGTAGTACTCAGCGAAATCCTTCCTCTCCTTCTCCTCCTCTCCAAACACTCGGACTGGCATCAAGATGTCCAGAATCTCCTTTGCGTCTTCCACATGGTCCTGAAAATATACACCGAGATGATGTTACTACAGATTCTACTGCGTGACCAATTCGATCCTTAAGGCCTTATATATTAAATCTCACAGTTAGGATTTTTTTCCATGTTTACGTTATGTCATGTAGGAGAATAGCAGGATTCGTTTAGTTTCATTTCTTTAGAAACTGCCCTTTGGAACAATCGATTCTGCTTTTAGCAGCAGAGGTTTCTTATAAAAGGTTTTGTCACTTCCATTAACACACTGTATCAGTTTTGTTTGCAGCTGTTGTATATTTTGTGAAGAGTAATATTATAATATAATAATGTGGTCTACCTTCCATTTCAGGAACTTCTCTGTTTCCCTGACGCAGTGATATGCCGCCTTGGCTGTCATGGGCTGGTTGATCCTGAGGCATGCCTTTATCAGGTCTATCATCTGCCGACGGTGTTCAGGAGTTCTAGAATAGATTCAAGCCATGTACTCCTTCTAATCGTTAGTCATATATGTGCAGCCGAAAGTGCACATATGATGTATAAAATATCTAAGGCTTAGCACAATTATACACCTGAAGTTTACCACGGGTAACTAATATCGATGATAACTCTTCCTTGACGTGAAGTTCCTTATGTTGTTCCCTTTACAACGTGCTCTGTCGTGCTGTTCTGGTAGGATAAACAGCTGGGCCTAAATCTCATACTGATACCTCTTCCTTGACGTGAAGTCCCTATGTTACTCCCTTTACAACGTTCTCTGTCGTGTTGTTCTGGTAAGATAAACAGCTGGGCCTAAATCTCATACTGATACCTCTTCCTTGACGTGAAGTCCGTATGTTGTTCCCTTTACAACGTGCTCTGTCGTGCTGTTCTGGTAAGATAAACAGCTGGGCCTAAATCTCATACTGATACCTCTTCCTTGACGTGAAGTCCCTATGTTCCTCACTTAACAACGTTCTCTGTCGTGTTGTTCTGGTAAGATAAACAGCTGGGCCTAAATCTCATACTGATACCTCTTCCTTGACGTGAAGTCCATTATGTTACTCCCTTTACAACGTTCTCTGTCGTGTTGTTCTGGTAAGATAAACAGCTGGGCCTACACACTTTTGGTTCAACACCTGGTAATCTCAGGGATCATTTATGGGTTCAATACGTTTTTTACAAAATTTTACTGTGGAAGTTTACCATCTCAAGGAACGAATGAAAAAATGATTCCACCATTATTATTATTAAATGCATATGTCTAAATCCTTGACATGTTTAAATATAATAGTTGCTTTAACTTTCAGTCCCCTTGTTGAACCCATACGTTAGTGTTGGGAAGGTGTTACATACATATGTCTGAACATGTAGGGTTGGTTTTGTGTATTGACGGAATAAAGGACACATTACTTTTTGCCTGTATTGGTGGATATATTCATATCGTTTTAGAGATACGACACGATCAGGTTAGTATGACCTACTTGTTCATGGCTTTCACAAGGACTTCATATACCGCTGCATCAGCAAATTTGACCCTCATCAGTGTGTGGTCCTCCAGGTTGTTCAGCAGGTCCGTCAGCTTCCGCGTCATCACAGTGAACAGCTCAGAGTTGCCCTGAATAAGGAGAAGGTGGCACAATGTAGCATTGTACGGACGACATGCGTTAAAACATACACAGTTAATGGTACGCGGACTGAACGGAGTGTCACAGGCCACTTGAGCTGTGTTTATTCTTGGGTGGTCGAAAGCATGACAGGACTTATACTGTTCCACACACCTGTAGTTTCAGTTTGGTGCCTCCTTACACAAACGACTTCGTTTGAAGAAGTAGTAAAGGTTAAACGATCTGATACAGCATTAAACATCATGAGAGAAGAAATGGAGTCTACGAAACCGATAACATAGCTCTCTAGCGGTTGGGTATCTGTGTAATTCGTACCGTTATTGTAGGGTTGCCCTTCTCCTCCTGTACATGATACAGGAAATATCCAACGGCTTTTACAATAGGGTGGATTGGACTCCCTGCCTTCTTGTTGCAAATCCCACTCACAAAGTCCATGATTTCAGCGTGAAGTTTGTGAAACATGAACGTCTCTCTGGAAAGATATCATTGCCGGATTAGTAACGGCTGTGGTTGGCCAGCAGGCTAATGACATTGGGAAATAATTCGGAGCCTACCAGATATCGGAGAGTTTCAATGAGATACGTTCGTACACCTATATGTGATGGGAATAGTCACACAAATGTTACCCAGTGACCTAAATATGAAAGGGGCTACAAGGTGTGTGTTGACAACAGTCATCAGCTCCAGGAGACGAATACTTAAAGGAACACTGTCTGCATGTGTCTTTGGTACTCGCTACCATATCATGGCTAAAGGACTATTGACTTACTGTCTGCATGTGTCGTTGGTACTCGCTAACATATCATGGCTAAAGGACCATTGACTGACTGCATGTGTCGTGGGTACTCGCTAACATATCATGTATAATGGACCATTGACTGACTGTCTGCACGTGTCTTTGGTACTCGCTAACATATCATGGCTAATGGACCATTGACTGACTGCATATGTCGTTGGTTTCTTGCAAACATATCATGGCTAAAGGTCACCTTTTACAAAAAAAGATTCATGTCTTAGAAACTTTTTGCAATGAAACTGGAATGTAAGTCAATCTTAAGAAGACTACAGTAATGGAATTAGGAATGGTGGTCCTCTACGATCATACGAGAAATGGTTTTATAAGGGCCAACAGATTGAATCTGTCTCGTATAGATATCTGGGTATTGTCTTCACACCCAAGCTTGTGTGGAGCAAAGCACAACTATGTTTATCATCTCAGGCTAACAAAGCAATTTTATCATTACTCAGTTTTCAAAGAAAAATTGGTAACACAGATGGCTGTGATTTATGTAGAATATTTGACTCAATGATTGCACTTATACTCTGCTGTGGCGCAGACATTTGGGGCACGGAATATTGTTAAGTTATTGAGGCCGTACAATTTAAGTTCTGTAAACAGTATTTAAGAGTAAACAAATCTACATTTAATGGTATGGTGTAAAGCGAGTGTGGCAGACTCATTCTCCAATATGTTTATCTCTTGCGTGTTATTAAATACTGGTCTCGTCTCATACATTTACCTAATAGGTTGCCTCGTCAATGTTACCTTATGTTAAAATCTTTAGATGAAGCTGGACGCACCACATTGGTTTCAAAGGTTAAACAAATATTACTCAGGTATGGCTTTGGTTATGCTTGGTTTTATCAAGAAATTGGAAATGTTGGTATGTTCATTTCTCTTTTTAAACAAAGACTAAAGGAGAATCTACAACAGTCATGGTATTCATCAATACAGGATTCTTCAAAATGCTTTTATTATAAGCAATACAAGTCTTTGTTGAGTGTTGAAAATTACTTGTGTTCTGACATTCCAGTGTATCTAAGGAAGTCTTTATCAAGATTTAGACGTAGCAACTTTAAGATGGCAGTAGAAACTGGAAGATATGGCAATATTGTACTAAGAGAAAGACTTTGTATGTACTGCAAATCAAAAGGTCTGGATTATATTGAAAATGAATGGCATGTCATATTTGTGTGCGGTTGTTATAAACATTTAAGAGTCAAATACATTGCTAAATATATACAAGAACCCTACACTGTACACACTATGATAAATCTGTTTCAAAATGAAAGTTGTAATGTTATGTACAACATCGGCTTGTTTTTGTACCAATTTAACAATATTGTAATTTCTAGAAACAAATGAGTGCTACATATACCTTCTTAAAACATGCGCACGTGAAAGATAAAAAACAACACTATAACATATAAATGGCTAAAGGAACACTGAATGTCTGAATCTGTTGTTGGTACTCACTTACATATCATGGCTAAAGGACCATTGACTGTCTGCATCTGTTGTTGGTACTCGCTAACATATCATGGCTAAAGGACCATTGACTGTCTGCATCTGTTGTTGGTACTCGCTAGCATATCATGGCTAAAGGAACACTGAATGTCTGAATCTGTTGTTGGTACTCGCTAACATATCATGGCTAAAGGAACACTGAATGTCTGCATATGTTGTTGGTACTCGCTAACATATCATGGCTAAAGGACCATTGACTGTCTGTATCTGTTGTTGGTACTCGCTAACATATCATGGCTAAAGGAACACTGAATGTCTGCATCTGTTGTTGGTACTCGGTAACATATCATGGCTAAAGGACCATTGTCTGTCTGCATCTGTTGTTGGTACTCGCTAACATATCATGGCTAAAGGAACACTGAATGTCTGCATCTGTTGTTGGTACTCGCTAACATATCATGGCTAAAGGACCATTGACTCTCTGCATCTGTTGTTGGTATTCGCTAACATATCATGGCTAAAGGAACACTGAATGTCTGAATCTGTTGTTGGTACTCGCTAACAAATCATGGTTAAAGGACCATTGACTGTCTGCATCTGTTGTTGGTACTCGCTAACATATCATGGCGAAAGGACCATTGACTGTCTGCATCTGTTGTTGGTACTCGCTAGCATATCATGGCTAAAGGAACACTGAATGTCTGCATCTGTTGTTGGTACTCGATAACATATAAATGGCTAAAGGAACACTGAATGCCTGAATCTGTTGTTGGTACTCGCTTACATATCATGGCTAAAGGACCATTGACTGTCTGCATCTGTTGTTGGTACTCGCTAACATATCATGGCTAAAGGACCATTGACTGTTTGAATCTGTTGTTGGTACTCGCTAGCATATCATGGCTAAAGGAACACTGAATGTCTGAATCTGTTGTTGGTACTCGCTAACATATCATGGCTAAAGGAACACTGAATGTCTGCATCTGTTGTTGCTACTCGATAACATATAAATGGCTAAAGGAACACTGAATGTCTGAATCTGTTGTTGGTACTCGCTTACATATCATGGTTAAAGGACCATTTACTGTCTGCATCTGTTGTTGGTACTCGCTAACATATCATGGCTAAAGGACCATTGACTGTCTGCATCTGTTGTTGGTACTCGCTAGCATATCATGGCTAAAGGAACACTGAATGTCTGAATCTGTTGTTGGTACTCGCTAACATATCATGGCTAAAGGAACACTGAATGTCTGCATATGTTGTTGGTACTCGCTAACATATCATGGCTAAAATACTATTGACTGTCTGCATCTGTTGTTGCTACTCGCTAACATATCATGGCTAAAGGAACACTGAATGTCTGCATCTGTTGTTGGTACTCGCTAACATATCATGGCTAAAGGACCATTGAGTGTCTGAATCTGTTGTTGGTACTCGCTAACATATCATGGCTAAAGGACCATTGACTGTCTGCATCTGTTGTTGGTACTCGCTAGCATATCATGGCTAAAGGAACACTGAATGTCTGAATCTGTTGTTGGTACTCGCTAACATATCATGGCTAAAGGAACACTGAATGTCTGCATATGTTGTTGGTACTCGCTAACATATCATGGCTAAAGGACCATTGACTGTCTGCATCTGTTGTTGCTACTCGCTAACATATCATGGCTAAAGGAACACTGAATGTCTGCATCTGTTGTTGGTACTCGCTAACATATCATGGCTAAAGGACCATTGACTGTCTGCATCTGTTGTTGGTACTCGATAACATATCATGGCTAAAGGAACACTGAATGTCTGCATCTGTTGTTGGTACTCGCTAACATATCATGGCTAAAGGACCATTGACTCTCTGCATCTGTTGTTGGTATTCGCTAACATATCATGGCTAAAGGAACACTGAATGTCTGCATCTGTTGTTGGTACTCGCTAGCATATCATGGCTAAAGGACCATTGACTGTCTGCATCTGTTGTTGGTACTCGCTACCATATATGGCTAAAGGAACACTGAATGTCTGCATCTGTTGTTGGTACTCGCTAGCATATCATGGCTAAAGGAACACTGAATGTCTGAATCTGTTGTTGGTACTCGCTAACATATCATGGCTAAAGGAACACTGAATGTCTGCATCTGTTGTTGGTACTCGCTACCATATATGGCTAAAGGAACACTGAATGTCTGCATCTGTTGTTGGTACTCGCTAACATATCATGGCTAAAGGACCATTGACTGTCTGCATCTGTCGTTGGTACTCGATAACATATAAATGGCTAAAGGAGCATTGACTGACTGTCTGCATGTGTCGTGGGTACTCGCCAACATATAAATGGCTAAAGGAACACTGAATGTATGCATGTGTCTTTGGTACTCATTAACATACCATGGCTAAAGGACCATTCGTTGTCTGCATCGCTAAGAGTACTAGACGTATAACAGGTTCTACTCACTTAATGGCCGACAGTAGCATCTTGAGTATGTCAATGACCTTATCGAGCACCTCCTTCGAGTCTGCCGTGGTGAGGTTCAGGTGACAGATGATGTCCTCAAGACGTTTCAGAAATCTTTTGTACATCTCGGGGTCAACTATGTCCTGAGATGATTAAAGACGTTAAAAATACATTTAAATATTCTCTCTCTCTCTCTCTCTCTCTCTCTCTCTCTCTCTCTCTCTCTCTCTCTCTCTCTCTCTCTCTCTCTCTCTCTCTCCTCTCTCTCCTCTCTCTCTCTCTCTCTCTCTCTCTCTCTCTCTCTCCTTCTCTCTCTCTCTCTCTCTCCTCTCTCCCTACATTTAAAATACTCTCTCTCTCTCTCTCTCTCTCTCTCTCTCTCTCTCTCTCTCTCTCTCTCTCTCTCTCTCTCTCTCTCTCTCTCTCCGTCTCTCCTCTCTCTCCTCACTCTCTCTTTCTCTCTCTCCTCTCTCTCTCTTCTCTCTCCCTCCTCTCTCTCTCCTTCTCTCTCTCATACAAACACGCACAGTACAATGAAATCTCACCTTGAAGATGTTCCTATCGTAAATATACCATATGCTGTGAGGTATGCGGTGATGGATTTCTTGGACTTCCTTTGAACGAGTCAGGAAAGTTAGCTCATGGTAAATGTACAACTCTATAAACTCTGTCTGGGCCTCCATGTAAGCTTCCTCCCTGAAATACAGGACAATTTATGTCAGTAACATGAGATCAAATAAATAACATTTGGCTTGAAATTTCATCAAACATACACAGGTTTTTTAACTCACCTGAAGGAGTCTCCATCAATGATGTAATTGATGGCTGAACTAAACGTGATCCCGAACCTTTCTCTGTCAGGCCCAGGTTCCCGAGTCTTGAATTCCCTCATCAGGAAACGTAAGTGACTTTTCAGTTTATCACCTCTGAGATCCTAAAACAAAATGTATCTGACAACTTCACGGAGGAATGTCTGTGTTAAGTGAAGTCCGGCTGAAGGTACGGTATTCAATATGACACCCACTCCCTCCCCTAGCTGACGGCACAGTATTCAATATGACACCCACTCCCTCCCCTAGCTGAAGGTACGGTATTCAATATGACACCCACTCCCTCCCCTAGCTGACGGCACAGTATTCAATATGACACCCAACCCCACCCCTAGCTGACGGCACAGTATTCAATGTGACACCCACTCCCTCCCCTAGCTGACGGCACAGTATTCAATGTGACACCCACTCCCTACCCTAGCTGACGGCACAGTATTCAATGTGACACCCACTCCCTACCCTAGTTGACGGCACAGTATTCAATGTGACCCCCAACCCCCACCCCCAAAGTAAAGGTATAGTATTCAACGTGACACCAACACCTAACTACAGGTGCTGTATTCATTGTGACACCCTCGCCCAACTGAAAGTGCAGTATTGAGTATGCCACCCATCCAACACCCAACTGAAAGTGCAGTATTGAAAGACCCACCCCCAAGTGACAGTCATCACGTAGCTGTTTTGACACATACACGTCAGTGGGAATGACAGTCATCCCCGGATGTCTGTATTGGTTAAACAACGAAACCTTGCTAATTAGGACAGTTCCGTAGATATCAAGTGTCCAGAATTAACCAACTTAAAATTATATTCTCTTTAGGATTTAGGATTACCTCACCTTAGATCTACCATTTGTTAACACTAAAATCGTCGTGATCCTGATTTAAATGTAACATTTACAAACCAATGGCACCATATATGTTCCTGCGTTGCACAGCCACAGGGAGATGTAATGTCACAGGCATGGGAAATCTATTTTTCACTAAACAGATATACTTACATGATAATATTCTTTAAACCCAAAGCCACTGTTGCCAAGCATCTTCTCCCACAGTTCCATGTGCGTCGTCCCCGGCCCCTGCTGGATCAGGTCGTGGAGGAAGTCGAAGCAGAAGTCGTGGATGCGGGACAAGGAAGTTATCTTTCCATCATCCTTCAAATCCCTGTAAAACGCGTTTCGTGTAGAAACATAGTACTGACATATACAAGTATCAACTTTTAAATGTGATAGAATTCTGGGATAATGCTCAGTACAATACTCACTCTGACCAAGTCATCAAACTGTCCAGGACGTCTTTAGCGAAATAACACTGATCAGAACTTTCCCCGGGAAAGTCCGGTCGGCACACCCCCTTCCTCAGCACCTTGAACGCCGCTAGCAGGTCCGCCTCGTTCACTACCGCCTCGTACTTGTCGGAGTTGTTTCTCTGATCATCGCTGAAGTCTTCTCGCTGGTCATGACCCGCCGTCATGAAGTTGTACCTTCCTACCAAGTGTTCCATGGTCACTGCAGATCTGCAGATGTAGAGTGAGTGAGTGAGTTAGCAGGATTTCATATCATATAGAGGGTTCATAAACAACACTGTACACATCCTTCAAACAGTCCACCAAACAACGTTCCATTCTGGTTGTTCTTACCTGCTCACTCACTTACTGACTTGTGAAACAGTGAGTGTGTGAGTTGAGTTTTACGCCGCACTCAACAATATTCCAGCTATATGGCGGCGGTCTGTAAATAATCAAGTCTGCACCAGACAATCCAGGGAGCAACAGCATGAACATCGATCTACGCAATTGGGATACGATAACATGTGTCAACCCAGTCAGCGAACCTGACCACCTGATCCCGTTAGTCGCCTCTTACGGCAAGCATGGGTGACTGAAGATAAATTCTAACCCGGATCTTCACGGGTCACTTGTGAAAATGAATACTAACTTTACCAGTTAAAAGGTTGTATGGAGAGTATTGTCTGTTCTGAAGACACACCTGCATCTGCACGCATGTAGATAATACTCGGTGTGGAAATTATCGCTCCAGGATTTCAAAGTCATTTAGCTCATCCAACCACCCACCACACCCACCCACTCACTCACTCACGATTGAACTTTGAGCCTAAGTCAAGTGTCTTGCCTAGTCAAGAGCGTGTTGTCACTCTGAATCTGTGTACAGCCATCTAATTATGAACTAAGACGGTTTCACCGGGTATTCTTAGAGGAGCAGAATTGATGTCCATCGGATGCCTGTATCGTTCCTAAATGTCTCATTCAAATTAAAACACATTTGATCAATGAGGCAGTCCATCATAACATATATTGTTTTCTCAGTAAACAGATGACTTCTGCTTTCAAGACTTCATATTCTTTTGCACCTGTCCAAGAACGTTCGTTGGGGTACTCTCGGATGGTAGTTCAGCATGGTGGACAAGAGAAGGAGGGCAAAAGTCAGCGGTAGAGTCATAAAAAGCAGCAGCCATGTTTATTATGATTGGGAAATAATGGTAGAAATGGTACATAAGATGGAAATCACGTGACAGAACGCACATCGGGACCGAGTGGCCAATGTTCCCGATGTGGAGACCCGCTCTGTCACTTACACACATTCAGAAGTCGGACGGCGGTTCTTCATCGTTGACGACGACGTTAGTGAGGCGACGGCCTTGGCCGGCGCCCCGACTAGCCGCACAGTCCGTCCGCTTCTGTCGATGATCTGGGCCCGTTTCCTCACCTCGTCTCTGACTGGTCTCGTCTTTCTGACTGGTCTCCGTCTTTCTGACTTGGTCTCGTCTTTCTGACTGGTCTCCGTGAGTGACCATGTCAGTCAGGTTTTATACATAGGGACATTACGCCACGTTATGCAAGGTCACAGACCTATGCACATGTACATACGTAAGATCCGCCGACGTAGTGAGGTGTTAGTTGGCATTTACTGATATCATTAAGAATTAAGGGTCCTGCCCGGAGGGGGGTTTATGATAAGAGGGCTACACCGGATTGCTGAATACATTAAACAGACAAAGGGGATAAAATTTCGGTGCACTTTGGATATATATTGAAATAATTATGTTGTTTGAATACCAGAACCTGTGACAATGGAGATGTAACTATATCTGTGGTCACTACCTTTAGTGACACAGCAAAAGCATGAGCTGAAAAGGCTTTCATGACTATATTTGACCCTCATACACATTGTCCTGGCATAGCCACTTACACAGTTTGTTTGCGGTTCTCATACGACCCACGGATAGCTCATCTATCTATATATCTATCTATGAACTGTAAACATTATGTGCCCCATATTGTGTTAATGTGAGAGATAGTTGCCACAGCACTACACAACAAAGTCTACATCCAAGAAGGGTCAATATCACAAGCAAGGCAAGGTAGACAGGAACACTGGTTTGTAATCTCGAGACGTGCAACCTGTGTCAGTGTGAGTAAATATATTAATCCTCCGCGAGAAAATCGATGACAACACCCTTTAGTTGACAATCATCTTCAGGAATTCAGCGACACATTTTGTGACCTACTTTAAAACCTGTTATTGGTGTACCCTTCGTCAAGGTGATTCAGAGTAATGTGGATAACAGCTGATGACAGCTCTGATTGGCTTCAGCGGTTAGCCTTGCGTGTTGTGTAACAGCTGATGACAGCTCTGATTGGCTTCAGCGGTTAGCCTTGCGTGTTGTGTAACAGCTGATGACACCTCTGATTGGCTTCAGCGGTTAGCCTTGCGTGTTGTGTAACAGCTGATGACACCTCTGATTGGCTTCAGCGGTTAGCCTTGCGTGTTGTGTAACAGCTGATGACACCTCTGATTGGCTTCAGCGGTTAGCCTTGCGTGTTGTGTAACAGCTGATGACACCTCTGATTGGCTTCAGCGGTTAGCCTTTGCGTGTTGTGTAACAGCTGATGACACCTCTGATTGGCTTCAGCGGTTAGCCTTGCGTGTTGTGTAACAGCTGATGACACCTCTGATTGGCTTCAGCGGTTAGCCTTGCGTGTTGTGTAACAGCTGGTGACACCTCTGATTGGCTTCAGCGGTTAGCCTTGCGTGTTGTGTAACAGCTGATGACACCTCTGATTGGCTTCAGCGGTTAGCCTTGCGTGTTGTGTGCCGCTGGGTAGTGGGTTGTTGGTTACCGCCGCTCTCAGCAATATCCAGCTATGTGGCGGCGGTCTGTAAATAATCGAGTTTGGACCAGACAATCCAGTGATCCGCTTCATGAGCATCGATCTTCGCAATTGTGATACGATGACATGTGTCAACAAAGTTAGCGAACCTGACCACCCGATCCCTTTATTCGCCTCAAACGACAAGCATGGGTTCTGAAGACCAATTCCTACCCGGATCTTCACAGGTTTGTAATGTAGGAGACGAACCAAATAGTAGCCACCATATCTCCATGTATGCAATCCACTGCCAAGTGACTGGAGATTATTAAGTGATGGATAACTCAAGTACCAGCTTATCGTTTATCTCACCTCCAAACTAGTTTCCGAACATTTTGAAACTCATGGCGATGCAAATATTTGGTTACACTCCATTATCACATCGTCGGAAGAGACGGGTGGCACAACGTAACACGATAACGCGTTTAAGACATATAACGGAGGGTAATTTGGAGCTGCTATAGCTATTCATCATGAAATATAATTAGCAAAGCATTTCTAATACGACGGAAATAGAAGATATTATTTGTATTCAAGGAGGAGGCTTTGTTTGAAAGAGGCTGAGTTTGTGTACAATACTGATACCATTGTTTACTGGCGATATATTCATAATTGGAAAGAAGTTATTATATATGTGTAATAAAAAAATACAAAACGTTTATATTGACATTGAGTGCAGACAAAAGGCGTTTGAAGACATTGTGCTGCAGTTTGGTTATCAATGTATACCCATTGAAGTGTAGCATTATGCATAGTATGAACCAAGACATGTTCGGCCGATTGGGTGGCTGGTGAGGTGTAAGCATAGATCGTCAAGGGTTCTTCCATTAGAAGGCGTGCAGTAGCATCAGTAACTACTGCCACACATTCCCTGGTAATGTTTCACCTCAGTTGTCCACTTTATACCAATGGTTATGCTAAGTCTGCTTTGATTCAACTTTTTATTACCTAGTGATATCTATGTGTATGGTGTACAGTGAGTTACATAGACACATACAATATTATGCATATACCAAAGTGTCAACAGTGGTTGGTGTACCCAAGTGTCAACAGTGGTTGTGTACCAAAGTGTCAACAGTGGTTGTGTACCCAAGTGTCAACAGTGGTTGTGTACCCAAGTGTCAACAGTGGTTGTGTACCCAAGTGTCAACAGTGGTTGTGTACCCAAGTGTCAACAGTGGTTGTGTACCCATGTCAACAGTGGTTGTGTACCAAAGTGTCACCCCAAAGTGTCAACAGTGGTTGTGTACCCAAGTGTCAACAGTGGTTGTGTACCCAAGTGTCAACAGTGGTTGTGTACCCAAGTGTCAACAGTGGTTGTGTACCCAAGTGTCAACAGTGGTTGTGTACCCAAGTGTCAACAGTGGTTGTGTAAAGTGTCAACAGTGGTTGTGTACCCAAGTGTCAACAGTGGTTGTGTACCCAAGTGTCAACAGTGGTTGTGTACCCAAGTGTCAACAGTGGTTGTGTACCCAAGTGTCAACAGTGGTTGTGTACCCAAGTGTCAACAGTGGTTGTGTACCCAAGTGTCAACAGTGAACGTGTCACACAAACAGTGAAACTACAAGTGGTGATCCGGCTGAATGATGGGATGGAACATGCTACAGACACAGTACGAGACTGATAAAACCAGTCAATATCCGTGTAATTCTGACACGTGTTCTCCATTTCAATAAACTCTTATAGATTAATATTTTAAAAATATTGACTGAGAAATAAAATTGTTTCTTGTTTCTTAGTCAGCGCTAATGATCGAACGCCGTCTGTGGTAACCACGTAGTTACCTGTCAATAAATCACACTGTGTAAACAGCACTTAACAGGTGACTTTAACCAGGGAGTCGTTGTATAGCCTTGCTGATAAAACTATTAGCTTTTCGACTGACCATCGAGTTATCGACAGACCCATCGAGTTAGCCTTGCTCCAAGGCTGTACTGAAAGATATCTCAATGAAGACCACAAGGCGTTGGCTGCATGTGATGGACATCTCGGCCACCAAGCGGCTTATGAAATGTTTGTGCTATACATATAGAGTATATATATTAGAATCACAGAAGCGTTATGTTGGTGCCCCCAGCACCTAGACTAGCCGGACTGAGGATAAGCC